AAAACGCTTTCACCTAACTCTCCATTATACAAAATCTATCCAATTCTTATTTCAAAACGTAACAATCCTCCCACCGTTTTGATTGGAGGTTTACTTTACTAATCAAAACTAATTATATTTCTATGAGTAAAATGAATGAAAATTATAATGTTAAAATACTGTTCCGAAAGTCCAAGTTTTTCAGCTCAAAAATTTAATTGGCACTTTAATAAGTCTTCCACTTCTCGTTCTTACTGTTTTTCCAACTACCTGCAAGTCCTTCTCTGGTTTATTCTTGCATGCTTCATTATTTATTAGATTAGGTTCAGTGGGTGAGGAAATTTCGAGTGGGAAAATCTTCTGCGCAGGCCTGACGAGTTCACAGGATGAAGTTTTAAGGCGAACCACTCGTACTTGCCCATCTTTACCAGGAAAAACATCTATTATTTTAGCCATTGGCCATAAAGTTCTTTTTTTTACCGTCTTATCACGTCCGGGTCACCACAATGTTGAGTACGGCAAGAAATATACCCTACTTCTTCCACTCCTATATTTTATTAAACAAAACTTCTTAAAAGAAAATACAAAATTGCAACATATTTCTAAAACATAAACTCGAGTTCCATTGTATAAGTCAAAAGCTATTGGAGACAAAATAAAACGCTTTCACCTAACTCTCCATTATACAAAACCTATCCAATTCTTATTTCAAAACGTAACAATCATTCATTCTTACAATCAAATACTACTTTACGTTTTAGGTCTATAAGAAATGAAGTACATAAAATAAAGGAGAAAAAAAATGGAAAATAAATATATGGTTGGTAGGTACTTTATTTACGTCGCACTAGAGCTGCACAATGGGCTATTGGCGACGGTCTGGGAAAAATCCATGAGGATGATCCTAGGACATGCTATCGCAATTTTGATCCTCTACGGAGGGGATGGCTCCTCCCCTTTGGTAGCCCGATGACCTGCGCGTTACGACGAACACTTTACGATGGAACAGTTTAACAAGGACTGATACCGCGCACCCTCGGCCCCTACGTAGTCTGATCAAAGTGGTCATCGACTCGCTTACTGACCACAGCCAATGATGCTTGACTTCTATATTCCACTGGGAATCGTGTCTTTAGGATCAGTCCACTGCAGGACAAATGGATTTATTTATTTTTCAACCTGAATATATATAGTAATAAATTATATGGCACACAAAAGTTCCCTATGTACAATAATTTTTTTTTTTATCGCATGAGACTTACTATATGTTGTTTTTATTTTGTCACGTAAAATGACGTTTGCATTGAAATGCAATTGAGGCTAAATCGAGCCTGTGGCATTTAATGCTCATCAGCATTTTATTTTAAAGGTTAAAATTTCGGTTTATTTGAAAGCTTTAAAATTATGGACGGCAATCAATGAAGATACCTTGTGCCCGATGCTCTGATAAATTTAGCTGGAGATGGCATTTTGGAACGGCTTCTACCAGGCAGTCTTGCTAATGGAGAAAAAAATAATTCTGTCATCGTATTTTTATTTTTTTCCTTAAAAGTTTCACTTTCTTTAAGATCTTTAGTACAATTTTTTTTTAAACTTGAAAATAGATGTTTTAATCACATTCTTAAATGACAAGGAAAATAGTTATTTATTTTACACTATTTTCAAATAGTAGCTATAAATATAACATATTAAAAAATATCCTAATTTTAAACTGTCACAATAGATACATTTTCATTGCGCTATTCTCTTTAGCCCAAACTAGAACAGTTGCATTTGAGATAAGTTCACTTTTAAAATATAGCAACTTTTAAACCATAGCTAGAACTGCTGGCAAGGAAAGTTTTTTTTGTGGGGGGTGGTGATTATTTTGTATAAGTAAGTCTATTTGCGTAAAAATCATGTAGTGAAATCTGGTTTGACCGGAGAAAAAGTTTTTATCGCACTTTTTCCGTTGCCTATCAACTAACAAGGGAAACTAGGGAAGTGTGACTCGCCAATTTTGAAATAAACTAGTGGGATGTATGCCCTATGAGGAATAATTTTAGGGAGCAGCGTTCGTTTCGGTCCATAGAGAAATAAAAATTAATTCAATATATAGAGAAATCGATATTTTATTACTTCAATGCAGACTATTAGTTATTGTAATTATCTCATACTCCAATTAATTTTGTGGTACTTTCACGTACTATATAATGCATATTTATTGTCAAAGTTGATTTCGAAAATTTTATATGTCTGTAGTTTTTCAGAAAAACCTGTTAGGTTAATTTTAAAAAAAAATTTGACATCAAATTTTTTAAATTTTTTTTTTCAAAAAATTTTTCAAATTAATTTTAGTATGCAATTGTAGATCAATTAATTAATTAAAAATTACTGATTAATTAATGAATAATTACTGATTAATTAATAATAAATTAATAATTAATTAATTAACTGGTAAATTAATTTATTAGCCAATTAATTACAAATTAATTGGATTATGAAACAATTACAATAACTAATAGTCTGCATTGAAGTAATAAAATACCGATTTTTCTATATATTGAATTATTTTTAATGGGCCGAAAATTTTCTTTGAATTATTTTTTATGGGCCGAAACAAATGTCGCCCCCTAAAATTATTCCTCATAAGGCATACATCCCACTAGTTTATTTCAAAATTGGCGAGTCACACTTCCCTAGTTTCCCTTGTAAGTGAAAAAATTTCCCTGCTAATTTAGGTAAATTCTCCTTAAAAGAGTAGATTATTTGACAAAATTTCCCTTACACACCATGGAATATTCTCTTATATCTTATTAAGAAGAACAATATTTTATCTTACCCAGTTATACGACTTGCAAAATCACCAGTTTCATGAGTGTCGTACCACTCAATGTCTTGTTTCAGAATCGAGGACATAAATAAGCAGCGGATTCTAAATGCTTGATTAGTTGCTGCTGTGTTAAAAGAACAAACAAATATGTAACTGCAAATCAACATTACACCACCAATGGATGCATTATAAATGCATAGCAATGTGGCACTTTCTAAAAAATCTTCTCTTGTTCTGAAAAATTAAAATGTATTTCATTAGTTATAATTCAGACTAATTAAGCAAAATTTTTAAGAAATTACCCAAATGCACTTATAAAAAAATTGTGTTTGGAAGAAGATATTATATTACATCTGGCATCGTTTCCTTGTCAATCGAAGAACGTGCCAAGAATTATGAAAATGCAACCAAACTCAAAATAGTAGTACAGACGCATAAAGTTTTCTACCTAGTTTTTAAATAAAGCATTTTTTAATGGAGAAGTATGCCACAGCTATACTTTCTATAATTAAGGTTCTTAAATTCACTAAATTATTCCTTAGCACTTTCTTCAACTAAACTATTAGAATTTGCCCTTTTAAAATTATGGTAAAATAAGCGGCAGCAGTTTGTCCATTCATGTAACCGTAACATTTTCGGTAAAGAGCATTTGTTACCCTTATGGTTTTGGAACTGTTTACAACTGGTATGGTAAAGAAACCATGAGCATGAAACTATACGTTTCTTTTAATCATTTACAACAAGTCTGATAACGAAACCATAAATATAAAGTTTATTTGAACATTGGAGTTAGATTGCGGTTGAGTTGCCAAATGAGAGGTGGAATGTGGCTTATTTATTGTGTGTATCTGGTGGTGCCATCTATCATGAGTAATAGGAAATACTAGACGTTTTGTGTTTAATTGCTTTAAGGTGCTGCCATCTATATGTAAATGAGAGCATAATGTTATAATAAAACAGATTCTCAAATTAAAGAGTGCAGGACACTGGAAACTCTTAATATGCTGAAGTGAATGGAGGAAAAATTGTGGTGCCAACTCTGGGATTCGAATTTTCGTTCTATCGGTCAAAAGATTGAGAGATTAGCCCTCAGGACTATAAGATATTCTCAGGTGCAAGGAACTAAGTTACTTTATTAGGTGGGCCTGGTATGGTGTCTTGGGATATTCATCCACTTTTAGATGCACGTGGATAATTTTTTTAAAAAAATTTTTCCGCACATGCGCTGTATGAAGCAACTACTTCAATTGCTCTTATCTGTCGCAGTTTTTATTATTTTTTTTTAATTTTAAAGCAATAATTTCGTTATCAGTTTAAAATTGATTCAAACGCTTTGTTTAATTTTTTTTTAAATATTTAAGCTATGGCAAAAGTGGCACTAGACCTAGTATATGTTTCGGACATTCACCAAAGGTCTAGTCATACTAGGTCTGGTTAAGTGCCATTGCCCGGTATACATTTGCCCGGTATATCCTACACTGATGTTTTTTAGGTCAAGTGCCATTGCCCGGTATATCCTACACTGATGTTTCTTAAGGTCAAGTGCCATTGCCCAGTATACATTTGCCCGGTATATCCTACACTGATGTTTTTTTAAGGTTCAGTGCAACTGCCCGGTATACATTTGCCCGGTATACCTTACACTGATGTTTTTCTAAGATCAAGTACCACTGCCCGGTATACCCTACACTGATGTTTTTTTAAGGTCAAGTGCCACTGCCCGGTGTACCCTACACTGATGTTTTTTTAAGGTCAAGTGCCCTTGCCTGGTATATATTTGCCCGATACTCCAAACACTGATGTTTGTTCTAATCTATCGTCAGTAAGTATTAAAATAACGAATAAATGTAATTATATCCACGAATAAATTAATATAAAATCGGATGTAATATATATTTCGGACATTCACTAAAGCGACTAATTTGATTGTGAACATTCACCGGTGAAAGTCAACAACCACCGATTTCGGTCATTCGCAGTAACATCCACATCATTTACATAATAACCTCATCAGGACAATTATTTCATACTTTGCCTATATAGCATCCGGGATTTCAAAAAATAAAAATAATTAGTTTTGTTGGCGATGATCTCGTAAGGCGATAAAGAATCATGCATAGTACAGGTAAGGAAGACATTAACCTCGAAGGAAAAGTGGATGAATAGCCTAAGGAACCGCCTGGTATGCACGATAAAATTCTGATTACTTAAGCGTATCCGGTGAAAACAGTTAATAAATGGTTTTTCTCACAGATAACACTTCGAATATCGTTTTGTTTACGGTTATTTGACAGTTTTGTTTGAATACGGTAAAATAACAATTAAATAAATTTTTATTTAAGCATTATTTCCGTGACAGTATAATTTCTTTACTTGCTTTTACATTTTTTATTTCTATAAGAGCTGGAAGGAAAACTTTATGAGAATATATATTGCAACTTTATATAAAATTGCGATGGAATCATATATATATATTTACTAAACAGCTTGTACTTACACATTTTTATTTGAAATGTTATTAATAGACTTATCATAATCAATCATTTCTTGGAAAACACTTCCCAAAACTATTGTCATTCCTGGCAATGCACAACCAGAAATGATGGCTACAGTAGCGCCAATAAATAACAACAGTTTATCACAGGCAGAGGAATACCTAAACTGGAAATAATAGTTGCTTTAGTGTAGACAATATAGCATATACAGACACTTTTAAAGGATTATATGGGACTAAAAAGCAACAACAAAAAAAAACATCCTTTAATTTAAAAAATATTTTCGTGGTAAAACAAGCTAAGAATAGTTTTTTATCGAATTTCTGAACAGTCAGTTTTTTAAAATTCGATTTCTCAAGAACTATTCGACCGAATTAGCTCAAAATTTGTATTTTGCCTTGTAAAATTATCTTTTTTAAAAGCATGCAAAAAATTGTGTACCTTAAAATTCAAAATTGTTTTCGACGATTTTCAGTTAAATTATTAAAAAATAATAAATATTTACTGAAGTTTTTTTTCTCCATAGAATTACCTTTGGATAAACGAATTTTATAATTGTGAGAAAATTCTTTTCAAATCGCTTAAAATGTTTTCGAGATATAGCGAAATACGCAAAAATTAAAATCAACATTAAGGGGTTCAAATTTTGGAGAGCCCTCCTGACAAAATTTTCGGGACCAAATTTCCTAGATTGTGGCTACCTCTTATATTTTGTGGAATTAAGATCTGATTCGGTAGAGATAAAAGGTGTGTTTATTTAGAGAAAGTGCGTTTCTGTGTCTGATTTAGTAATTCAAAATATCGCTTGTACTCACTAATTAGCCTGTTTGAGATCACCCTATCAAGCCATTAAAATTGAGTTCGATAATTAAATCAAAAGTGATCCTTTTTTTAAAATTTCTTTTATATTTTTTTTATTGTTTACCGTACATCAATCCGTAAATGCAGAAAGAAACTGTGGAAAACGCAAAGTTTATTAAAATGTCCAATGTCTCAATTCAAAATCCTACCTATTAATGTATCTATTAGTCCTTTAGAATCCATGAATTTCCCCATTGTTGGATTTAATACATTAACTTCTCTCTTTAAAGTGTGTGTAAACGTTTAATTTGAAATAAACTTAAAATAAAGTATTCCTTTGCACAATTTTAGATAGTTCAACTCCGAATTCGAAGAGCTATTACACCACAGTTTTTATAATGTACACGTTCCTTAATATTTAATTAATTTTTATTCGTTACTTCTGCTAAGCTCAATGGTTCTAGGGGTGTTTCACCGAACATACCACCTGTGGTCTTTACCCCCACCCCTACAGAATGAAAGGAACTCCTGAGGTAGGTATACTGACATCGAAAACAAGTACAGGGGTTAACATAAGATTGATTTTTGGCATAACAATATGAAGTCAAAAATCTCGCCAGTGATATGTTTGTAAACTACACCTTCCCTCTTACACACGAATTAGCTGCGCATGCTCGACAAATCGAAACCAAAAATCGAATACTAGATCAGTTGTGTGTGACTAGTATTGACAGCACTGATCTAGTAACTAGTTTTACTCTATATCCACGCCCTCGAGTGAGCTGTGGTACTTCTTTATTGTAATTTAGTCCTTTTTTTATAAGTTGTAATGATTAATATTAATTCATAACATTCTGTCTCTTTGCAGAAAAATAAGAAAATTTGCAAATTTTATGACACATTTTTTATCTCGAATTTTTGAAAGATTTATAATTTGTAAACTTTAAAATTAAAAAAAAAAGAAACTAATATGTTCTTAAAATTTAATTCTTTATATCATTCTTCTAAATTCAAATACTTGAAATAAAAAAAAACACAATTTATGTACTTACAAAAAATAAATAAATTAAATTAAATAAATAAAATAAAGAACATTTTAGTGAGCTGCCCAAAACATTAAATATCATATAAAGCACAAGAAATTGGAAAATAATAATAATTGCTGATATATATTCTCATTATTATCTGTTAGCGTTCAATTAGTTTGTAAAAAGCGTTTTTCTGGCTTTCATTTATGCTTAATGGAAATTCTAATTATTTTCATTCCAAAAGTCTTTCAAAATGTGACTTTACTCCTCTATTTCAATTACAAGTTATTTTGATATCTGCGTTGTGTACAAAAAAGTGAAAAAAGTACAAAAATAAGAAGAGCATTTCACAACATTTACTAAGATGATAGACTATATATCCAGGATGATAAAAAAAATATTGATTATTAAAAAATAATTTCATTGCTATAATAAACATTGAGAGGAAATCCTATTATATAAAGGTTAATATATAGGTTATATATAGGTCATAATATATAGGTTAGCTTTTATATTACTCTGATACTTAAACTGCAAGTTACTTTGATTTTTGGGTCGTGTTAAAAGTTAAAAATATAAGAAAAGTGTCTCACAACATTCACTAAGATGACAATTTGTCTGTCAAGGATGATTAAAAAAATTAATGGTTAAAAAAATAATTTCATTGCGATAAAGAACATTTAGCTAGAATCTTATTACCGTTCAGGAATCTAAAACACTTTTTTGTGGTTTTTCCTTGCATGTAACGCAAAATTTGATTATTTTTATTTAGTCTTAATTGAAATAAGTTATTCTTATAACTTTAATGATTATGATTGTACTCCAAGTAACTTATGAGTAATTTTGATTTCTGGGTTGAATTAAAAATAATGACGTTTCCTTATATTCACAAAGATGATAAACCATCTATCAAGGATGGGAAGAAAAAANATTATACGCGTAATTCAACTCAAAGTAACATCAGTGCGACTTCTGTTGTTGCAGATTAGATACCAGGTTGTAAGATGTTAGTTTAAGCAGGACTATTAATATTTTTTTGCTGGTTATTTATAGTTAGATTGCTTTTTATGGTTATTAATTGTGTTTTAGCATTAATTGTTAATTTTTTTATTAATAATTGTTTATTATTTTGTTTGTTTTTGTGAATTTTATGTTAATTGCTACATATGCTTCATAGTGTAATAACAATTGTGATCGTGCCAATCGGTGGCGTGCCCAAAATATTATGTCGCGTGCCATAAATAGCACGAGTGCCATTGGTTCGCCATCCCTGTCCTAGATTGTAGCTACCGCTTATATTTTGTGGAACCGTAGAGAAAAAAGGTGTGTTTATTTAGAGAAAGTGCGTTTCTGTGTCCGATTTAGTAATTTAAAATATCGCTTACACTCACTAATTAGCATGTTTGAGATAACCCCCTCAAGCTATTAAAATTGAGTCCGATAATTAAATCAAAAGTTATTCAGGGTGATCCTTTTTTTAAAATTTCTTTTATATATTTTTTATTGTTTACCGTACATCAATCCGTCAATGCAGAAAGAAACTGTGGAAAACACCAAGTTTATTAAAATGTCCAATGGCTCAATTCAAAATCCTATCTATTAATGTATCTATTAGTCCTTTAGAATCCATGAATTTCCCCATCGTTGGATTTAATACATTAACCTCTCTCTTTAAAGTGTGTGCAAACGTTTAATTTGGAGTAAACTTAAAATAAAGTATTCCTTTACACAATTTTAGATAGTTCAATTCTGAATTCGAAGAGCTATTACACCACAGTTTTTATAATGTACACGTTCTTTAATATTTAGTTAATTTTTATTCGTTACTTCTGCTACGCTCAATAGTTAACGTGAGCGTGGTACTGTAAGGGAACTACATCACCAAATTAGCATTCCTGAGTCACAAGTTTATTTATTTTTTAATCACGAGTTTATAGAACTAAATAATTTAAAATAAACGGTATTTGAAATAAAAAATAAGCTATGTACTGAAGACAAATGATGGAGAAACAGAACTAACTCATTTAGGTAAAAATACTATAGCCATATTATCTAAATGATTCGACTCATGCTAATAATCTAATTGATAATTGTTTTTGCTGAGCTATTTAAGCTTAGAAATATATACCGTGTAAATATTTACCTTCAAAATAAATGGTATTTAAAATCTTATCCACCGAATTTGCTTCTGATCTTGACCTCTGCAGTTATTAAGAAAAAGCGTAAAATTCGCCGTTCTATCATTAATGTCAATAATGCTTAATTTATTTTAATAACAGGTTCGAATTGAATTTAAAAATAAGATATGTACCAAAAAGCGATATCAATGAAGAAATGATACTAATTCATTTAACAGAAACCTTGAAATATCACCTTAATATTATAGACGTCAGTTTTTCTTCTTTTATTTTGGTAATAAACATTTTTGTATTATGGTAATTGGTTCAGCATAAGGGTAATTAATACAAAACATATACAAATGTAGGTATAGTTAGCATATCTAACTATTAAAACCGTATATTTGATTATTAAACCACTAAAACTACATTATAGTTTTTACACAGATGCAATGAAAAGGGGTTTTTTTATGGGCCCTCGAAAGGAATATGTTTCTGACAAAATTACTTGATTGTGATTACCTTGAGAAACAGCATCATGCCAACATCATGAATACAGCTAATCTAAATTTTGATAGGATGATGTACTAAAAACGTGTTTTGCTTAATTTAATAACCTAAAAACACAAAATAATAAAATATATCGATTAAGAATGATATTATTTTTAATTATTATATGTCTTTATGCATATGTCTTTCTGTTTTCTGTTTGATTCCGTAGTGATGTTTATTGATAGTTGGTGTTTTTTTTTAAAAAACCAAATCGGAGAACGAGCATTCAGCTAGTAATAAATAAATCATAAGTATTAAAAACAGGGGGAAGAGAATTGATTTATTTTAATTCTTTAAGTAATTTCAGTTTACAATCCCAAACTATATAACAGCATACAAGTTATTCAGTTTCAAAAATGACTCTTCGTTTGTTTTCTTTTTTAATTGTAAAAAATTTTCAGAATTTAAGGACTAGTAACTTTTTATTGCTTGCAAAATACTTACTAATGAAAGAAAAGACACAGGTGGTAATTCATCTTCCAGCTCCTCCTTCTTACTGAAAATAAATCAAGAATATCGCATTGTTACAATTTAAGTAATTTAGAATAAAAAAATGAATCACTAAAATTTTAATTAAAGGGAGTAATAAACATCATAGAAGGATGTATTTATATGAAAGGAACTATTGCAGCATATAATATAAGTTAATGAACCATGAATGTGATAGTATATACTTAAAAAACAGTGTTCAAATGGGTTACCTCATCCTTCGTTCCAGAAGGATCTCCAGGTTTAGGAACTGGACAAATGCTGTGTGTAGGAAAGGAATAATTGAAGAGAGTTCTTTTCAGGAACGCAAAAAAACTTCTTATTTACTTCTCATCTTAATGGGTTCAGGGAAGAAGGTGGCTCCTTTGATTGTTGATGTTTAAATTTTACACTATGAAAAGGTTCCGGATCATGATTTTTGAGAATTAAAATAGTTCCTTTCCAGCCGGAAAAATCTGAGGCTCACTTAAAGACTTCGGAATATCTTCATATGCTTACAGTTTTACCTCTTCATCTTTCTGGCAACGCGCCAACTATTGGCGATGGCGCACACGTGTTCACCTCTATTATGTAGCATTTATATCTGACAACTTTAAGTTTCAAATAAAGTTAAGATTCATCGTTGACAAAATGTTATTTATGTTGCAGTTCCCTTTTTTTATAAAAAAGGGAGATGAAAACGAGAGCAACGTTTCTCTCACACAGTAGTTTACTCAACTGATGCCAAGAAGGCACGCGGAAAAGGAGCAAAGCGCTCCTCGGGTACAGTTAAGGTGGAAAGAATCGATATAAAAAATCAATTGATGAACTTTAAGATTAGAAGGCTATTGTGGTTAAACGAACAAATACTGAAAAAACAATTGAGGAGTAGAATATTGACTCAGGTATGATGTAGCAACATCACAAAGAACAATATAATCAAATTTAAAAATTAAATTTAATTCTCACGAAACACAGCTTGTTTGTATCATTGATTATAAATATGGCAAAAATGAACCTGGAACTTTTAAATGGAACCTATAAGCCTGGTCTCCAATAAGAGAGCTCTGAAGGGATCTAATTTTTTAGTACACTAAGGGGCTCCATCCCTGCTTGCTTCGCTATCACTAACTCCTGTAATTTCTGCTCCTTCAGCACTTTTTTTCTCCTTAACCCTTTGAGGCACACGAACATAAATTTTCATATTTTTTTAAAATTGAGAAACTAATTATGATGCTTAGGATCTAAGAATGGGAAAATGACATTTAAAAAAAATTCTGATTCATTGCACCACACAGGGGGTGGTGGTTTCGGTGGTTAACCAGTGTCCACATAGAACATTTTCATGTGAAAAAAAAATATTATCTTTTTTAACTTTTTTTACAATAAATTTTCACTTTTCAGAAATCAAACAATAAACTTAAAGTACTAAAACTATTTATATAATTTTAAAGACCAAAAAAGGCTTTAACAAATATAATATAATACAAAAATAGTATATAATAAAATATATATTAGTGAAAAATAAAACGCATGAATTTCAAACACAAAAAATATTCTAAGTAAAATATAATATATATTATACAATATCAGGATAAAATAAATAGTACAGAAATATATAATAATAAAAATAAAATGTATAATAATAAAAATAAAATATAAAATAAAATGTATAATACTAAAATACTTAATACTACTAAAATACTTAAATTTTGAAATAGTTTTCAAAACAAAAGAACTTTTCTATTATAGAGAATTAAACTCTCATTTCTTAATTGAAAATCAACAATATAAATAAATAATAATAATAATAAAAAATTTAAATTCTTAATTTTTAAGACAAATAAAATGCAGAAAAATTTTAATAGTAGAAAATAGATATTATAGCATCAACTAAATACGACTGTTCGCTTATTCAAAAAGAACTCAAATGAGCAGAATTAACTTGTTTCAGATAAGAAATTTGAAGTAATAGACTTTATTTTCAATAGAAATAGATAAGAGACACATTGCTCCCCATTTATAAGCCCCATGAAGAAAAAACCCTAATAAATTTTTACCCACTTCACTATCTGAGTGAAGGAAGGGGGAAAAAGGATAAAGACTCGTGTTGGTGGATATAATGTTCTAGGGGCACAGTGGCTTCACTCTGAAACCAAAAAATATAAAGGTAAAAATTAAATACTTTTCTGAGGAATCTTTATTGGGAAAAATTTGTGTGTCAAAAGAAGCTCATAAACAACAAATCTGAGTGATATACTTCAAACTTTTTTTGTATTTTATTGAGAAAAAAAAAAAAACTTGTAGTAATGAAAAAGGGCCTTGAAAACTTTTTATTTTTTTCAAAGGAAGATATAATCTAAGTGTAGTGCTGCTATCTGGTGATGTTTAGTAAAGTTAAAATAATACTTTAATATTATTGGTTTCGGAGATTGACCTTTGTGCCGCTAGGAATAATTTTTTAAAAAGTGCGGTTTCGCTGTCGTACCACTGTGCTTCAAAGGGTTAAACGTCAAAATTTTTCACAAAAATACTGAACATTTTGTTTCATAAATCTGCAATTATTCTAGTTTTATGTAAGTGTGAAAATATTTTGTTAATATGCTAAGCGTTACAGAATAGGCAATTACTTAGATTTAAGTTCTGCGATGGACTGATCGTTAAGACACGATTCCCAGTCGAACACCGAAGTCAAGCATCACTGGCTGCGGTCAGTGTGCGAGTGGGTGATCACTTTGATCAACCAGCAAAGGAACCGAGGGTGTACGGTATCGGTCCTCTCTTAACTGTTTCACAGTGAAGTGCTCGACTTCGCACGAAGGTTGTCGGGCTACCGAAGTAAAGGAGCCATCTTTTCTGCAAAGGATCAAAATTGTGATGGCATGTCTTCGGATCATCTTCAAAGATGTTTCCCAGATCGTCGCCAATAGCCCATTGGGCTGCTCTAGTGCGATGTAAATGGAATACCTACCTACTTAGATTTAAAATAGTGACCATCTGCGCTAGAAAAAAAATTAACCAAAGGAGTACAGATTATGTGATTCAATAGGAACAAATGAACGGGAAATAATTGTACTCGTTGATGAGACAATTTAAATCGGGAATGGTTTTTATAGCTATTTATGAAGTTCTTTTTTTATTTTTAGGAAGGTCAATATAAATATTAAGATTTTTATCTGACAATATGTGATCCTTTCCTCTCTTTTTTTGCTATTTTTGATTCTTATCTACTAGAGCACGAGTTATAAAAAAAAAATAGAGATCTTGTTAGGGAAAAACAAGTTTTCCACAACAATGGATAAATAGTCAATATTCAAAACAAAACGGTTGGGAAAAATCTCGAAGAAAACTTAAAATTTGAATAACTTTCACACAAATTAAAGTTTTGAAAAAATACACCGATTTCGTAATTTAAAATAGTTCTATTAGCATATAAAATTTCAATTTTGTATTTCAACAGTCAGTAGGTGGACCAACATGATTCTTTTTTAGAACAATTTTTACAGTTAATAGTTCTCAAATTAATATTCAAATCATAATTCTTATATTCCATCGAACTGTTTGTACATTTATGTTCACATCTTCGTAATCTCTCGTAATTTAATAGTTTTGCGCAATAAATTAATATGTAACGTAAAGTAAAAATAGTTGAGAAAAAAAATCGCAAATAAATAAATAAGCACTTAAAGTTGCAATAACTTAAAAAAAAAGAATTAGAATATCGGAAAATCTCTGCATTAAGTTCATTAACATATAGATCTTTTCTGCATGTCGAATTTCAAACTTGTGGTTACATTCATACGACCCATATGATATTGTTCTTACAACAAGTTTAACAGTTTATAATTCCAGAACTAATTCGTGAATGTTATTTTTTATGTCATCTAATTCCTGCACATTTTTCTAGACACCTTAGTAATTTTTCTTGACATTTTTCTAGACAACTTAGTAAGTCTCATAGTTTTTGCGTAGAAAACCAAAATGTAACATTAAGTTGAACACACCCAAAACAGCTGCAGCAGCTTTTACACTTTTTTAATATAGAGATAAAATTTAAACCTTCATAACGAAAAAGAAATAAAAAACATATTACGTTGAAATATAAAATATTTTTAGAGCTGATCTTTCTTAGGTCAGACAGAGTTTTCCTTACGACTCAGAAGATGTTTTGAAATCTTTAAATTTGTAGCTTAATGAAAAGGTACATTGTGTCAGATTTTTTGAAACACTTNTATTTTTATTTTAATTACATTTTATTTTATAAAATATTAATAAAATTTTTTTACAAATTTTTTTTTCAAACTGATGCATTTTTTTAATATTTGTAAAATTTTAAAATTGAAAATTATATTTTTTTAAATGTTTGATACCTTTTTATCTTTAAATACCTTTAAACACCTTTTAATCTTAAATGTATTACTCTTTATTTTTAAAAAAGGTTAACTTTACAACCACTTAACCTTTGAAAAAAAACAACAATATTTTAATACTAAGTTTTATTATGATATAGATACATACCTGTTTGCAGCGCCCTCTTCTAACTCCTCCGTGAAATTAAATGCTTTGTTTGAGTATCCTTTTTTAAAAAGTCTTGTTTCTTTCTCAGTCCGAAATTCACTTGTATCTAAATCTTGATAATCACTATTATTCCTCATTTTACGCGAAAATTGCTAGTACTTTGCCGCCACAGTTAGATTTTAAAAAGAACACCAGAATATAACGAGCGTTCCATTATGTACGGCATAAAAATGTTTTTTTTATTCTGATTATTGTTTAGTAATTCTCTTTGCAGAATCATTGCGCAATGACTCTGGTCGTAACCTTGTGCAATAACTGACAGGAGACTGACGTGTGATAAGCGTAAAACTGTGTTATTAAGTTACTCCCCCCCCCCTTCTTTGTATCAGAAAAAAACGAACTCATTCTTTTCCAATGGGATATTCTTTCGACTCTTTTGGAGTAAAACGCAATATATTAACTTACTGTAAATGATAAAATAAATTTATATTGTTTTTGAATTGATTTGAACTTTGATTAAGACAGATAATATAATAAATAAGCGATTTTTTATACTTGTTTTTTGTTATCATTGTTTGTTTCATTTAACCAAATAGATTAAATAAGCGTTTACAATTTTAGTGATCCTATATCGGAAGTTTAAAATATTTTCTTTTTGCAAAAAAGAAATTAGAAAGGCTGAAATTACGCCATTTGAAATTGGTATGCAACATTAAACAATATTTATTAAAAATAAAGTACTTTACTTCCATCAATAATAAAAACCAGCAATTAAACATTTACTGGACTGTTTTTACAGGGAAGAGAGTTAGCTTTTTATATTCCAGATTTTGTTTTGCTAACTAATTACTTATTACCAATAAAATTTAAACTTTAAATTGTAACATCATGTTCTAATAATCTCAACAATAAAATGAATTTTTAAAATTTAGTAAAAATTTTTCCTTTGAAAAAAGTTGTTATCACTTCATCTTCAAATATGGAAAAAAAAACATATTAATAAAAGACATAATAAAAAATATAATCAAAATAAGTAAAATAATAACAAAGAAAGTATCAATTCAAAACTTAAACATTAACAAAACCGAGAATTTAATTAACTGTATATACTTTATTATTGATTATATGAGAAATTTTAATCTGTTAAACTTGTAAAGCAGTGAAATTTGAAAGAAAAAACTGACTTGCAAAAAATATAAAAATTATTTCAAGGAGAGTGAAACAGTTAAAGATATAAAAATAAATTAATGGAAAATAAAGGAGAAATGAAAAAAAAAGTGAAAATAAATTATGAAATTAAAAATATTTTGCCATTGAAAATACCAAAATAACATACAAAAATTTGATTTCGAAGAATTTATTAAAAACAGCACATTTTGTAAAATATTTAAAGAGAAAAAATAGTTACACAGTTTTCAAATGAATAAAGTTTTTTACATACATTTACGGTTACAGCAATAAAGTATTTCTTTTACAGTAATAAGAACAATTTTTATACATTATTTAATTGTGTGATTTTAAAATATTATTGTATTTTTATCTTCAAAAGAATCCTCATTAATAAAAAGTGAAAAAAAAAATATTCATAAAGAAAGGATCAACCATAATAACTTTTGAATTATGTGTCGAACTTTCATATTCTGTTTCAAAACCAATTATTGTTTAAAAAGATTTCCTAACATTAGCATATAAAATATTCATACCTATTAATCAATATTTTAAACAGAAATAAACTTTAAATTGTTTCGTAATCCTTAAGTACTTATAATTTCTTTATAAATATATTTTGCGCAAGACATATAAAAATATGCATTATACATATAGAACGTATTGCAATCAATATACATGGCGAATGTTTAAAGAAGACATTAAAGGAGACATGTTAGTAAAATATGCGCAATTTTTGTACTTTTCAACCTTTGACTGGGAGATAAATATATTTTCTCTTTCTTCTCTCTCTTTCTGTCTTTCTTTCTCTCTCTCTCACTTTCTCCGTTTATCAAAAAGTAACAAAAAGCATCCCGTAGCAAAAAGCATCCCATAGCAAAAAGTAGCATTTAAGTATTGCAGCAAAAGGTGTATTTAAGACTAAAAACTAGATAGTAGATTCCAAAAAAATAGATAGCGTCTTGAGACCATACATACAATTCGATATCAAAAAGAAATTAGTAGGGAATGAATGTTTTTTACACGCCATTTGCAAATTTTATACTTGTAAATGTATGTGTATCAATTCCATGTATGAAACACATGTAGAGAAAATTCGAAAGTTGAAGGAAAAAAGAAATGTTGGTTTATACACATCAGCGTAATTTCCTGTGTATAATCCGCGGATACCTTATCAAAAAGCGTGACGTTATGGCGAATAATCAGTCGAAATTATCTTCTCGACGTCAAACATCGTGAATTCAACGATTTTCGTCAGTCGTAAAAGTGTAAAAGGCCATTCATACTGGATGTGAAAAATTCACGCTTACGAATTTGAAAATGCGAACGAGAAATATATTTGCCCAACTCGCCAGTGAATGCCCCATAAACATGATCACGTGTCTGCTCACCCGTTTCCCTGCCGAAGCTCATTGGCTCATTCAGGACGTATATTTGCTCATACATAACGTTGCTTTTGTAGGTGAGAGGGGCTTTGAAATTCATTGTTAATCATAACCACATTATATTGCCGTATAGCCAGCGAGTTATACGGCGATACGATTTATCTGCTGGAATTCTTCCACCAGGGCTAAAATTTAATCCTGCAGATTATATGTCACCGAGGATAATAAGCAGACAATTGCAATTTTTAATACATACATGTCAAATAAATACATCCATTGTCCGATGAGATAAATTATAAACTGATTACACATGAATGGAATTATTACATCGCAATAAAATACTTGTTTTAATGTAATAACTGCTTCGTTGCTTTTTCAGTAGCATTTACCAGATGTTCTGTAATCCTCGCCTCTGTTATGTACTTTTGGAATTCTCGTCAGAAATGCATTCCGAAAAGTATGCACGTTAAGAATCGCTAATTAATAAATCAGCAAGAAAAACAAAAATGCTAACGAATTAGTGGAGAAGAATGCAGGGTTAAAAACACCAAAAAGAGCTCGATTACTAAGTGAGATCTGTATTTGCAAATTATACTCCGATAATTACTTATCAGCTCTTTTTCGTTTTCAGCGGTAGACAAGCAAGTTTTATGCGGCTTTATTTCCGTCTTCAACTCTAATGATTCGTTAGTTTTTGCTAGCATTTTTTTTCTTTGCTTAAATATTAGTTTGCGGCTGGCAGTGTGTATATTTATTAAGCCCATTTTAGACACGATTTAAATTATAATATACTGAGAGGGGTCGTTAAGAAGCATGCTGCATACAATACAGAAAAGACTGCATGCAATGCAGAAATACACTGTATAAAATTAGTATTAGTGAAAGTAAATTTAGTATTAAAATAAAAATGTGAAAAATTTGTACTTTTTCTATTCTGTGAATATCAGTTATAAGAAACACATGGTGCATGGTACATTTTTAATGTTATTCTTTTCGATCCAAAAACGCGATAAAAGTTCTATTTGTTTTTTTTTAAGTCAATTAAATAGGAAACATATTTTATTGAATCTTAAACCATCACCGCTGCTGTCACATAAATGCAATTCTCAGTGAAAAAGTTAATATAAATTGGACATCCATTAAATATTTAAAAAATTTGTACTTTTTTTAAATAATGAATGAGTTATGTTATGAGATGCATGTAACATAGTAATATTTCTATGCGTTTTTTTTCCTCAACTACTCTTTTCAACTTAAAAACACTATGTAATTTCTACCTGAGATTAAAGAAGGGTTTTTATTTTAAAAGAAATTAAATGTATCACATATTTTATTTACTTTAATAATGTTCATAGCTGCTTCCCCAACTATATAAATGCAGAGAAAAAAATAATGAAAGGATATTAAAATTTTGGCAAATTCCATATTTTTCAAACTATGGGTATGAATTATAAATATTTGTAACGTGATTTCTTTTTCTCTTTAAAGCACCTTATACTTTTAATTCCGAACAGGGAATATTTTTAAATTAATTAAAAAACATAAATACATATTATTTACATTAAAACTACATCTTTGCACACTATATAAATGCTGCAATCATATAGAAAAAAAATCATTATACGCTGTAAAAATTCTAGATCAAATTACGCGAGGTAAAACCAGCACTCATCTGTTTTTAGCGGAACATGTTACTGAAAAAAAAAATCTTATATACCATAATTTTTATAGTAATAATTACCTTAAAATCACTGAAACACTCTAATTAAGTAAATATTACTCTAAAGTAGTAAATATTAATAATAAAATTTATTTTACGGATGATGCATCCTTAGTTCTGGTACTTTACCCCGTCATTTGTTCCAGAATTTTTCGCAGTGTAGAATAGATATTTATGAAATACAAGCAACAAATTTTACTTATGGATATTAATTGTAAAACATATATCATCTGATGCCTTTTATACTAATCAACTTTGCTATCCTGCCAAAAAGCATATTTTTGTGGAAAACTTCATGTAATTATTATCTATAAAAACAGGAATAGCAAATAACAGGTTAATTTTCAATACTATACTAGCATGAAATTATTGTTTAAATGTTTCATAAGTGTTTTAAAAACGAAAAGGAACTATTAACAATACAAAATTGCTAACGTAAGAGGTAGGATGTTGAAAATTAAATGACTAACATTCGCTTACTGGGCACCACTCTGTGTATTGTGAAGATTGTAATAATGTCCTTTTAAATTTAAAAGTTCTTGGTGGGTGCCTTTCTCAACAATGTTACCTTTATGAATTACAACTATGGTGTCAGCATTTTGAATTGTTGAAAGTCTGTGAGCTATGATGAGGCAAGTTCTTCCATCACTTGCTTTATCTAACGCTTCTTGGACAACCTATATAAAAATATTCCGTTGAAAATAATAATTAAAACATTTATAATTGAATCAGTTTTGTATATGCCACTTTCAGTTAGTATATATGTTGACTTTGCATGATTTAATGTTGTTTATACAGACTGAAACTTTGAGACACTTGTTAAGGTTTTGTTTTTCTTTATTTCTTGTATGAAGGATGTTTTTTAGTTTTTAAGCAACTTGGCAACGTTGCTTTTCTGTTTACCACTCATTTTTCTTAATTTTGTTTTTGGATTAATTTTAAAAGAACAAAAGTTTTAGAAATAAATTAATAAATTATGAATAAATTAAAAGTTGGTCTGCAACATCAGTAGTTTTTTATACAACGATCATAATTTTAAGAAAAAGGAATAGGTATGTCAATGTAATTTGGCAAAAACTCTTTTTCATAACCAAGTTCTCATAGTTAATTTTTTTTCTCATAATCAAGTGGAAAAAACTAGATATTTATTAGATATCAATATAAATATATCAGATTATACCAGATATTAATATCATAATATTAGATATTAATATCATAATATTAGATATTAATATAATAACATAACAACTAATATCAGATGTTAATAAAATAATATTAAATATTAATAATAACAAATAGAATTCCATCATTATTCAGTTTTTAATGGAATCCCATAAGAGCATATTAAACTCCAGTCCAGAGAATAACTTAAGTCTTGCGTGAGAATACTTGGTATATATTTGAAATTCAGCACATTTTTCAGCACATATATTTCGAACATTTTTCTATTTTTATTGAAATACAATTTTTTAATCTTTGTTATAAGCTTTTCTTCGAAAAAACAGTTTTAAACAAGTTAAGAAATTTTTAAATTTGCAACAATTAAATCTTTTGTTTCGAATTTCTTAAAATTAATCTCACCACACAAAAACTACGTCAGCCCTAGAGACATACACATGAAGCCGATAGTGAATCTGCTGTGTTTTGTGGGTGAACGTTTGATTATGGATAAGGTTGGCTCACTATGAGGACCACTAACAACACGAGTATGTTATTAACCATTTTGGATGTTGAACAGGTCGTTCACTGTTGAATTTTCATCCTAAAATTATGTTAAAATAACCGGCAACAATCTGTCCCTTCAATTAACCGTAATAAACATTTTTCACCTTTATGGTTTTGAAATTGCTTACAACTACAATGGTTAAAAAAATCATGAATATAAAACTATACGGTTTTAACTATACGGTTTTTTAACCATTTAAAATCAGGCATTTTTTTCAAAACCGCAAAAATGAAGTTTAGCAGGACATTGGAGCTAGGCTTATTAAGAGGTAATGGGCATTGGAGTTAGGTTGTGGTTGGATTTATCAAGAAGAAATATTGTGTTGTCAACGCTGGGACTTGAACTTTCTGTAGGTCATGAGATTGGTAGATTAACACCTATGGCAATAATATGTATCCAGCTGTAAGAAACTAAGTGCTGTGGCCAGTTTGTCCGATAAAATTCAGGTTGTTTAACCATATATTTGTAAAGCAGTTCATGAACAGTTTTTCTCACAGTTAAAAATTTTAATACTATGGGTTTACGGTTATTTGACTACTTTGTTTGAATATGGTGAAATAACTACTAAATAAATTGTTACGAGAAACACTTTTATTACACTTTCAACGAGAAATTTCTAGCTGTGTACCGTTCAATCAAAATCCTCTTGAAGAGTATATTATTGATATTCATATATTTTAAGGTGACAACAGCAAAGTTTATCTAGGAAAAAAAGTGGCGACTGGAGCAGCTATTTACTATTACACATAGAATGGTCAGCCAAATCCTTTGACCTTTGCCTCACGGAAAATCTGTGGAACGTTTTGCAACAGTGGATAGAACACCAAAACCAGCATCCCCATGAGAAAAACCAAATGAAAAACAACATGATGAAAAAAAAGCGAAATTGCTATATACAAACATGCTAAACACGTCATTATGGTTTAATGGGAGTTTTAACTTACCTTTTCACTTTCTGCATCGAGGGCAGAGGTTGCTTCATCAAGAAGTAATATTTTGGGATTTCTTAACAGGGCTCGAGCAATAGCTACTCTCTGCTTCTGGCCGCCACTTAATTGCGTGCCTTTGTCACCAACTGGTGTGTCGTATCCCTTTAAAAATATTTTTTATGTACATTTTAATATTCAATTAGCATTTTAAGTTGTTAATTTCACTTAATAAGTTAATTAATTTGAGTATGAAATCGTATTATATGAGTTTTTAAATTCACTCTTATTGATACATTTTGTTAGAATATTTAGTTAAAAAAATATAATAATCAAGTTATAATAATAAGTATATTTTATGAAACATATTTATGAATAAATTTACAACATATTTATAGAAAAAAATAATTTATGGAGAAACATATTATGAAGAAACATAATGATAAAACGATCATATTCTTGCAATGCGCAGTTTCAGCGCTATATGGAGGGAAAAAATTCATTGTTGGTGATAAAAAAACTTTCTGCTATAACTTTTTAACAAATTTGCCCACTGACATGGTGTTTTTTTCAACAATTACTACAATTTTTGCTTTAATTATTCTGTTGTATGTATACCTCATTTGCGTTAAATTGTTTGTATGCAAGATTAAAAATCCTGTTTTTCACTGTTTCAGATATTGCTGTTATGAAAGCATTTTTAAAATATTTTATTTGAACCGCTAAACACAATCTATGAATGGGTCTTAAATTGTTAAAATATGTTTAAAAATGTTTCCAATTTAGTTTTGAAACCAAATACTTTATAAGACACTAGTGATTTAAAAATGGAAAAAGTTTTTTTTTACCTGAGGTAATGAAGAAATGAAGGTATGTATATTGGCTTGACGTGCTGCTTCTATAATTTCTTGCATTTCAACTGTTCTTGAATTGTCCCCGTATGCAATGTTTTCAGCTAGACTGTAACTGAATAAGACAGGTTCTTGTGATACAAGGCCGATGTGAGATCGGAGGCTAGCCACTTGCAAATCTAAAACGTTTTCTTCGTCAAGCATCTGAATTAAAATGCAAATAAATATTATTCTCTTTTTATAGTGTTGCGAAAAATGTAACTCATTTAGTCACTCTAATTTTGATGGGACGCGAGCAAAATTTAGAGCAATTAGAATTCAGTTAATATTGATTCCAAATTGTTTATACATAGAGAAAAAGTGCTGTTCAAATTACCGTGCTGTATAGTACTGGCATTTTCTGTAAAAAATAACATAGCAATAGCTTCTAGCAATAAAACCAAAATTTACTGTATTTATACCTATCATTTGGTATTTTTCCGTTCACATGCTTTATCGAAATTTCTGGTTTTTAAAATTATTGTTCTTATAATCCCAAATTTAGAAAGAAATACATAACTGAAAAGTAAATTTAACCCAATAAATGATGGTTTTATGCATTGCTGGTGTTTTGGTAAATATTACTGAGGTTTTTGGTGCTCCCATAGAGCCAGAAATACAATAAATTTTTACTCTATTCTGGTCATTTTGACCTTATTTCTTTCTTATTGTAGTATTATTTTTTATAATTTTATAGAAAAACAGGTGAGATAAAAATTCTGTAAATCCTCCCAATTTTATATGTATAAATATTATAGTTTATTCAAGTATTTTAAACATCATATTATGATGAACATTTCTAAATACCAGATTGTAAACTAGAAAAATGTAATACCATGTTACAGTTAAGAAGCTTTAAATACCTTATAATAAAATATCAGCTTGACTGTCACTTTATCAAATAACAATTTGAATGTAATTTTAAATATAATTTACTATTAAAAATATATAAATGAGCATAACGTGATCAATAATGTTATAAGTATATTAATCTCAAGAGTAGGTATTATGTAACTCATTTGTGCTATAATATTTTTTTAAATTTTTGTACTTGTTTCAATTTTCGCCATATTCACCACAAAATAGTCCCAAATATTTTACCAGAAAAATTCCAAGGTAACAAACATATATGCTTTGTTAAATCATACAAGTATCTTAAGCAGTTTATATTTTCAAGGAACGTTAAGATACTCGNTGAGTGCCTTTGTCACCAACTGGTGTGTCGTACCCCTTTAAAAATATTTTTATGTACATTTTAATATTTGATTAGCATTTTTATTTGTTAATTTCACTTAATAAGTTAATTATATTTGTGTATGAAATCAAATTATATGTGTTTTTAAATGCACTATTATTGAACCATTGTTAGAATATACTTAGTCAAAATAATACTCTAATCAAGTTATAATAATAGCGTATTTTAAGAAACATATTTATGAATAATAAGTTTGCAACATATTTACAAAAAAAAAGTAATTTATGAAGAAAGATAATGAGAAAACGATCATTCCTTGCAATCCGCAGTTTCAGCACAATATGGAGGGAAAAAAATCATTGTTCAAAAAAACTTTCTGCAATAACTTTTGAACAAATTTGCCCAATGACATGGTGTTTTCTTCATCAATTACTGCTGCTCTTGCTTTAATTATTCAGTTGTATTTTCAGCTCTTTTACATTAAATTGCTTGTATGCAAGATTTAAAAACCTATTTTTCACTGTTTGCTGTTACAAAAGCGTTTTTAAAATATTTTATTTGAATGCTAAACACAATCTATGAATGGGTCTTTAATTGTTAAAATAAGTTTAAACATTTTTCCAATTTATTTTTGAATCCAATTGCTTCATAAGACATTAGTGATTTAAAAATGAAAAAAAAAAAACTATTTTTACCTGAGGTAATGAAGAAATGAAGGTATGTATATTGGCTTGACGTGCTGCTTCTATGATTTCTTGCATTTCAACTGTTCTAGAATTGTCCCCGTATGCAATGTTTTCAGCTAGACTGTAACTGAATAAGACAGGTTCTTGTGATACAAGGCCGATGTGAGATCGGAGGTTAGCCACTTGCAAGTCTAAAACGTTTTCTTCGTCAAGTGTCTGAATTAAAATGCAAATAAATATTATTCTCTGTTTATAGTGTTGCGAAAAATTTAACTCATTTAGTCACTCTACCTTTGATGGGACGCAAGCAAAATTTAGCTCAGTTAGAATTTAGTTAATACTGATTCCAAATTTTTTATGCACAGAGAAAAATTGCTGATCAAATTATCGCACTGTATAGTAATGGTCTGTTTTACCATAAATACCAGACTATCTGGTCTGTTTGACCATATTTTTTTTAGAGTAATATTATTTTTTATAACTTTATGGAAAATCAGGTGAGATAATAATTCTAGAAATCTACCAAATTGCATATGCATAAATATCATAGTTTATTCAAGTAATTTCATATTACGATAAACATTTTTAAATACCAGATTGCAAACTAGAAAAATGTAATACCATATTACAGTTAAGAAGTTTTAAATACCTTATAATAAAATAGCAGCTTAACAGTCACTTCATCAAATAACAATTTCAACCTAATTTTAGATACAGTGGTACCTCGAGATACGAGTGTATACGAGTACTGACATACGAGTTATTTGAGATACGATCTGTCGAGCGAGCGAAGTTTTGTTTTGAGATACGAGCGACATTTGAGATACGAGGAACGGCCATGCCCTTCTCGTCCTCGACAATGCTCCTGCTCACCCACCGAGCCTTGAACATGACATCCTCGAGGAGTTCAAGTTTATAAAGGTTCTCTAATACCACCTAACACCACTCCTATCCTGCAGTCCATGGACCAGCAGGTGATTTCTAATTTTAAAAAACTGTACACTAATCACCTGTTTCGGGGCTGCTTTGAGTTGACAGAAAACACAAACCTCACCCTTCGAGAGTACTGAAAGGACCACTTTAACATCGTGATATGCCTCAGAATTATTGATCAGACCTGGCTGAGTGTTACAACGAGAACCTTGACCTCTGCATGGAAAAAGCTGTGGCCTTAGTTAGTCTGCAGCCGAAAATTGGGCTGTGGCCTGAGTCTGTAGTTTCGAAGGATTTGAACCTGAAGTGCCAGTGGAGGAGGAGATTGTGTCTCTGGGAAAATCCATGGATCTGGTGATGGGTGAGAGAGACGTGAACGAGCTCGTCGAGGAGCACTCTCAGGAACTGACGACCGAGGAATTACAAGAGTTACAGTTGCAGCAGCATTCGGGGATTCTGCAAGAAATTGTTTTCGAGGAAGAGCCAGAGGTGGATGAGGTTGTCTCTACAAGTGAGATAAAAGATTTCTTGGGAGTGTGGGAGAGAATTTCACAGTTCGTGGAAAAGAAACACCCCGAAAAAGTTGCAACTAGTCGTGCATCGGAGCTATTTAATGACACTCGCCTAACTCATTTCTTCAGCATTCTAAAAAGGAGGAAGAAACAAACCTCCTTGGACAGTTTTTTTTGAATCCGACTAAGAAAGCGAAGACCAGTAAAGAGAAAAGCAGTGACTAAAATTAAGCATGCCGTAGCATTTAAGTTGTAAGTTGCATTTAAGTGACCAAAATACAAATATGTATGTACACTTTATAAAACCAGTTTTTTTTCCTTTACATTCTCTTTTATTATGCTTTTATGCAGTATTTGTCATTTATAAATACGTAACAAAAACAATTGGTGGTAGCATTTTTGGGGCTGGAACGGATTAATTGCATTTCAATTAATTTCAATGGGGAAAATTGCTTTGAGTTACGAGCGAGGTTACGGAACGAATTAAACTCGTATCTCGAGGTATCACTGTATAATTTACTATTTAAAATTTATAAATGAGCATAACATAATCAATAATGTTATAAGTATATTAATCTCAAGAGTAGGTATTATGTAACACAATTTTCAATTTTCACCTTATTTCACCACAAAATAGTACCAAATATTTTACCAGAAAAATTCCAGGGTAACAAACATGTATGCTTTGTTAAATCATACAAGTATCTTAAGCAGTTTATATTTTCAAGGAACGTTAAGTTACACTTAAACGTTCAGTCACGATTTGTGAAAACGTTCTTTTTACTTAAACGTTTGCGAACGCTTTATTAAAGCTTACTACAGGACATGCAAAGATTTAGCACTAAGAATTTACGGAGTTGCTCTTGTTATAACATCAAAACATGACAAAGCATTGCACTTATCACATTTATATACACTTTATGTTGAAAAGTTACGTGCATTATACTATAGCTACTTCTTTTCATTTCATCACATATTCCAAGCTTTTACACCGTTAAAATTTTCCTTCTCAGATTACGGTAAAAAATTCGGCAGGAATTTCTCGATCTGATTAACTTTAAAGTTTATTGTTAGAAACATTTTTTTCCGTTATGGCTTCGAAACCGTTTACAACAGGTGCGGTAAAAAAAAACATGAATACAAAACTGTACGGTTTTGTAACCATTTATTATCAGCATAGTCTAAACCATAAAATTAAAACTTAAATTTACATTAAAGTTCTATTGTTGCTGCGCATTTATATGCCAGTGATAATTTCATATTATCTAGGGTCACCGACTGAAGAGTGTAAGGTCCTGAAAGCTCTTCGTGTATTTAAGGAATAGAAGAAATATTATGGTACTAACTCTGGGATTCGAACCCCTGTTTAGACAATGATGAGAATGACCGATTAGCTCCCTCAGCTACAGAGTGTATTCAGCTACCCGGAATAAATTGGTTTCATTAGGTGGTCCTAGTTAGCACAGATAGAATTCTTGTTGATGTTAAACTGTATTAGGTAAAAACAATCAATAAACTATTTTTCGTCATAATTAACAATTTAATGTTATATTTTTATGGTTATTTGACTGTCTTGGTCAAATATAGTAAAATAACAATTAAATAAATTCCTATTTAACTTTTTTTTTACAGAGAAATTTCTAATAGTGTAATCACAAAAAATTCTATACAAAAGAGAAAGCAAACGTTTAAAATTTAAACGGTTTTGTGTTCCAGTACGTTAAGAGTTTGCATAAGCCGAAACCTTAAATGTTACTCAAACATTCTTATAAGCTTTGTAAAAACATAACTGCTACTTAAACACTTTGTCAATCGTATTTTAAAATTTCATTTTCAAAACTTAACGAAACTCAAGGACAAAAAGATTTTAGGAAATCAAAACCTACTTACTAAATTCCCATGCAAAGGATCGTAAAAACGTTCGATCAATTGCACACAAGTACTTTTGCCACATCCACTACTTCCAACTAGAGCCACAGTCTTACCTGGCTCTATTGCTAAATTAAGACCTCTCAAGATTTTTATATCAGGTCGGCTTGGATAATTGAAGTGTACTTTTTGGAAATCAATATAGCCATTGACTTCATTCTAAAAAAGAAAAAAATAGAATTTATGAGTTTAACATGAAGAAGTAAATAAAAGACTATAAACTAAACAAAATTAGATTTCTCCAAAGTTTGAATTATATTAATTTTCATCTTATGCTATATATATGTCTGGAATATTTTAGTCAATTATTCTATTGAAATTTAAATCATTGAAAAAATCGTTCAGTTTAATTTTCACTGACCCTTTATACAATATCACAGGTGGGAAAGCTGCCAAAAGTGACCACGTCAAATAAGAAAGATGAGTCAATTTATATGAGACGTTTAACTGGCAATCAAAAAAAAAATCCCAAATAGTTTAGTTTATTTATTCTTAAGAAAGCTATGTATATTAAATCGATTTTTTTTTTTCAAAAAGGTAGAAAGAAAAAATTAAACAACTGATACGATTTACTCAATCCTGATCCCGATTAAACCGGTTTACTCGAAGGACCAGAAAAATATTTTAGTGTTTTACTAACTTACCAACGATATATATTCGTTTTCAAATATTAATAATATTTTTATCAGAATCGTAATTTTCTCGAAATGGAGAAATGAGAGAAAATAAACACTTTCATTATGAAACATTTTATTAACAATATATTAAAACTTAAAGAAAATGTACTTTTGTTTGATAAATTATAAAAACGCAGAAAACAACAGTAAAACACAAGAAACATCTGAATAAGACAGATCTGTCTTTCTAGGAAAACAAGTGCTATCATTAATTCTCAGACACGCAATTATTCATCGAAATTGATAATTGCCTTGCAACAAGAAGTTATAGAAAAAATTGATCAATTAGAAAATTAGTCTAATAGGCACGGATTAGGCACGGTTAAAAGATATGGAAGATCAAAAAAATTATTTTTCGATTTATAAAATGTATCTAAATTATATTATACTTAAAACAATTAAAAGATTAAGTTGCATATACGTTAAAACGTGTATGCAACTTAATTTTTAATTTTACCATGTTTTTTATAATCAAGTGTATAAATACACTTGATCTAAAAAAACATGGCACTTTTTCTGTGGAAAAAGTTTTTCTTCCTTCTTTTCAAACGCCCTGCATTTTACTTTAAAAACGCTACTTCAACTTAATTTGTTAATTTCAATTGTAACATGTCATATAATGTCCCAATAATGATCATAAATAATGTTTTCAAAGAAGTTATTAAAGCAAGTCTTAGAAAGAAATATTTTATAATTACTTCTGATTAATTAAAGTGTTATTACTTTTTTTAATATCAATAATCAAATGGCCTAAGTAGTGTAACTGTTTGAATTTTTATTAAAGTAAAGGCCATATGATATGCAGATGAATTCATGGTTGATGTAGCGGTGGCCAATATTTGCCAAAAAACAGCGTTACTCATAATTAATTTTTTATTATTTTATTACTGAAACACTGGATGGCAACTTCTTTAGTTTTTCTTCTCTTATGTGATGTACGAAAATTATAGTTCTTTTTAAATATGTAGTCCCGTTAAATGCTAATGAAAAACTTAAGCTAGAAGTTCTGTAGGCCTGTTTTAAAGTATAAAATAAATTTATGTTTTTGAACTATATATGTTAGAAATAAAAGATAAAATTATTAAAGTTTTAAAAAAAGAAATTTTTACACCCAAAACAAAAACTATCTATATTTTATAGAAACATATAAAGTTAGTTTTGTTAACTGTAAAGATGAATTTTTGAAGATCTGCCATAGATGTGAAAACCTATTTTTGCTTATCATATTGACTTTAACAATTGTTTAAAACAATTGATTACTGCTAAAACATAACGAATGATTTCAATAAAAACTTTAATTATCTTAATTAGTAACTTACCAATTTTTTTCCTTGTTGAGACAGGGGATCTATACTGGGAACTATATCAAGAAGATTAAAAATTCTAACAGCGGCCAGTTTAGCTTTATTGTAGTCTGGGGCGATTGCAATAGCTTGTCCAACATACATCATCGCAATTAAAACTCCTTGAAGAACCCTGTTTTTATTAGATAAAATAGTAAGGCCAAAGAAAGATTCAAAGGTAAAATAAAAAATGCATTGAAACAAAGCTATAAATTAAAAAAATAATTAAAAAAAATTAAAAGAACCGAAAAACATTAATTTTAAAATTCGCAAGAAATGAATGGACTTTTGTTAGGCTATTTGGCCATTAAAATGATAAGTGAAGATTTGGGAGCAAAAAATGATAATTTTTCCGAAAGATGAAACTAGTGCGCTTTAATTCGATGTAGAGTGAGCAAGAAAGAATGACTAATAAATATTCGACTCTAAGCATACGACCTTTGTTAAAAAATTTAATTTCTCATTAGCTATTCGGCCAATTTTGTTCAAATTTTTTATTGTAAAATTCTTTAAAATGATGTACAAAGTTACATAACTCACCATTTAATTTTTTTTTTACTTTTGTTAAATAAGGTTAAATAATGTTCACTAAAAGTTATTTTTTGCGTGCAGTTATCTTTGGATTAACGAATTTTATTATTGTATACAAAATTTTTTAAATTCGCTTAAAACGTTCTCGAGATGTAACGAAATATGCTAAAGTAAAATTAACATAAAGGCGTTCAAACTTTGGATCACTCTCCTGATCGAACTATTTGGGAACCGTATTTCCCAAATTGCAGCTACCCCCAATATGCTTGGGGTAGAAACCAAAATTTGTCACAAAAAAAAACATGTATGTTTATTTAGAGAAAGTGCGTATTTCTGTCCTATTTTGCAACTTAAAATATCGTCTGCAGTAATTAATTAGCATATTTGAGGTCACCCCCTCGGATCATAGAACGTTAAGATCCATTAGATCAAAAGTTTCTCAGGGTGGTCAGTTTTTTTATTCTTCTCATTTATTTATTTTTGAGCAAATGTACATACCAAAGTATTCTGCTGTCTGCTCACAAGGGAAACTTCTGATTATGATCATAACTTCTGTTTATCATTTGTTTAAGTTGATCGTATGGAAAGATTACCAAACTGGCAAAAATAACCAAATCTCCCTTTTATAAGGTGAGCACTTATCGAAATAGACCATCAAATTGATGCCCCACACTTACACAGGTCTCACAGCATTTCTAACTCCTGTCCCCAGATTTATTTTGAGATTCTTTTGAATTTAATTCGTGAACTCAGACTAGCGAAATGCATTATTGTTTGATAATTTCGTTCAGCAACTTTTTATCTACAACTTTTTTAGCTTGTTTTGTATATATTATTTTTTAATTCATGTTTAACGAACGTTTAAGATTGAATAAGTAGTTTAATTAAAGGCATGTACAATTCATTTATTTAGGGAAAGCTTCCTATCTATTTTAGTCAGTTTTCTAAATATAAAGTTTTTAGTTACAACAGTTATAACAATTAAATTTACTTCAAAATGATTCAACTATACGAATGAAAACTATACGACAATATTCTAACTTTCGAAGAAGTAAGAAATTTAATTTCATTATGCTCTTTCAAATATCAATTTAATAATTTATTAATAAGAAGCTAATATGTTTTAGGCATAAAAATTTGATACAAATTTTTTGTTTGCGCAGAATTAAAAGTTTGTGATACTGGAAAGTTTTTCATTTTTTAATTATTAATCATTTCAATTTAAATTTTTCCTTAGTCAAAAATTCTAAGTGCTGTGTAATTCTGGTTATTAGATTAAACCTCTTTATTTTCCTATCACGGTATGTCTCCAATTTCTAAAATTTTCGCGCTTAATATTTTTTTATGCGCTTAATATTTTTATGTCTGCCAATCAAGTCATGGAAAGAAAGTCCTTAAAGTTATAAATTTTATGTACTCAAAATTGTTAATGAAAATAATTTTGGGGATCTTTTCAAAAATATCTCACTTTAATAAATTTTCATATTTGATCTCTTTATCAGCTACTAGTACTGATCCATAGTACAAGACTGCAGCATAAGAAAATATATTTGTTCCTTGGGCAAATCCATAAATAAGACCTCTAATGTGTGCCATTTTCTGAGAATTCCTAAAAAAATAAGTGTCAGCATTATATTAATAAAAGGAGGTGTTTTTCAAAGCAAAATGACTAGAACAAAAAAGAAAAACAATGCAGTTTATTTATATACTTCTTAATTATTTGCTAAGTATTTTACGAAACTTGCTGAAGGATTTACTTTTTAATTGAAGCATTAATTTAAAGGTAAGTCATTTTTTTAGTTTTTTTTTGATAATTTAAGAGTATAAATTTAATTAAATTAGAAAACCGGGAAATTTTTATAATTATCAAAAAATAATTAAGGAAACTAAAATTAAACGTAATAAATTATTTCTGATATGATCATAATTTCATGTAAGCTTAAAAGGAAATCATGTCCTTAAGGAAAATATTAATGTTATTACTAACCAGCGTCCTAATATTTTGATATATCATTAGAATTTTAGCTGTGATAACAAGCAAATTTTCTGTGAGCTCAACATGGTGTAAAATTGAATCATATATTTCTTTAAATTAAATCATATGAAACAATATTATACGATATTATTTGACTTAAACAAAGTCATGTTTCAATTGGTATACACTGTGAAAAATTCCAAATCAAACTATAGCATAAAGTACCGGCACTTTAAGTGAACAATCCCTCATTTTTACAACAAAATATTATCGCGTAATTTTTACAGTAACATTCATTTAATCAGCGTGAGTCAGTGATTTCAAGGTAACTAATGCTGTAAAAATTGCTGTATATCAGATTTCTGTTCCGTAACTTTCGGTAAAATAAGATTTTACGGTAAAAAGTACATTCCCCCTTTTGAGGGCATGTACATTTTACTGTAATTTGAGTAATTGAGTTTTTTACAGAATAGCGGCAATCATTATAGCAGATGAAATTTTCGTTACACTGGACACAAAGCAAATGAACACTGAATACTAGACAAAAGTTGAAAGCAAATACAACTATTGTTAAAATAGCAATAAAATAGTTTTATAGTGAGCAATAGTTTTTTTTATGACATTTATGGCATAAAATATTGATTTCAGTTGTAAGCTGTCAAGATATGTGATCAACAATAATAGCATACTTTTGAAGCAAACACTGGATGCCTGGATCAAACCTGGAACAATCATTGCTACAAGGATTTCTATAAAAACTAAACTTTTGTTATGCAAGGACAAAGATAACTTGACTAGTAGTCACCTACAAAAACTTGTCTTATAAACTTAAAGAGCTAAGATTGTAAGAAGGAAATGAAGGAAAATTATGCTTGTTTTTCATTTTCCTAGTAGCAGTTGTAGCAATAGAGGAGTATTTGTAAGTTTAAATTCATTATAAACATATAATATTTGTTTTAACATTTTGACAGCGAAATGGAAACTCGTCGTTTTCTTATGAACCATACTTATAACTTTAAGCTGTATTTAAAAAAAACGCATCTTTTTACAAAATGAATAATTTTTTTTTTATTTCTCATAAGAACATTTTTTCTAGTCCTTAACCTATAAAATTGGATCGGCTGTTCAACGACGGTTATAAAATAAAATAAAATAAAATAAAATAGAACAGTTTAACGAGAGTCGATGCTCAATTGTTTCAAAATTTATTTTTTATTTATTTATTTTAGTAAGCAATTTATTTTTAAATTTGATTTCTTTTTCTTAAATTTACATTGCTTTTTTACTTGTTTATAACTCATAAAAATTTAAAAAAAAATTTGATTGTGTGACTAAAAACTGACTTAAAGGGCTTCAGAAGAGCTGAGTAGAACTGTTGATAGAATTTCTTTTCTTGATGTAAAGAGGCGACAGTACGTATACTTTCTATTGCTTCGATTGCTACCTGCAGGAGAAAAATTTTATGCATTAATTTTTAACTCTTAAAGTTTATGTACTTAAAAGAAATTATAATTCACAAGTCAGAGGAAATTCACAAGTCAGAGGAAATTCACAAGTCAAGGAAATTATAATAANATTGTTCAAAAAAACTTTCTGCAATAACTTTTGAACAAATTTGCCCAATGACATGGTGTTTTCTTCATCAATTACTGCTGCTCTTGCTTTAATTATTCAGTTGTATTTTCAGCTCTTTTACATTAAATAGCTTGTATGCAAGATTTAAAAACCTATTTTTCACTGTTTGCTGTTACAAAAGCGTTTTTAAAATATTTTATTTGAACGCTAAACACAATCTATGAATGGGTCTTTAATTGTTAAAATAAGTTTAAACATTTTTCCAATTTATTTTTGAATCCAATTGCTTCATAAGACATTAGTGATTTAAAAATGAAAAAAAAAAAACTATTTTTACCTGAGGTAATGAAGAAATGAAGGTATGTATATTGGCTTGACGTGCTGCTTCGATAATTTCTTGCATTTTAACTGTTCTAGAATTGTCTCCGTATGCAATGTTTTCAGCTAGACTGTAACTGAATAAGACAGGTTCTTGTGATACAAGACCGATGTGAGATCGGAGGTTAGCCACTTGCAAATCTGAAACGTTTTCTTCGTCAAGCATCTGAATTAAAATGTAAATTAACATTATTATCTGTTTACAGTGTTGCGAAAATATTAATTCATTTAGTCACTCTACTTTTGATGGGACGCAAGTAAAATTCAGCGGTGTTAGAATTTCGTTAATACTGATTCCGAATTGTTTATACATAGAGAAAAAATGCTGGTCAAATTACCGTACTGTATAGTAATGACATTTGTAGTAAAAAATAACATAGCAATAGTTTCTAGCAATAAAACCATAATTTATGGTATTTATGCCTATCGTTTGGTATTTTTTCCGTTCATATGATTTACCGAAAGTTCTGGTTTTCAAAATTATTGTTCTTATAATCACAAATTTGTAAAGAAATACATAACTGAAAAATAAATTTAACCCAATAAATAATTTTATGCATTGCTGGTGATTTGGTAAATATTATTGAGCTTTTTGGTGCTCCCATAGAGCCAGAAATGCGATAAATTTTTACTCTATTCTGGTCATTTTGACCTTATTTCTTCCTTATTGTAGTATTATTTTTTATAATTTTATAGAAAAACAGGTGAGATAAAAATTCTGGAATTCCTCCAAATTGTATATTTATAAATATCATAGTTTATTCAATTAATTTAAACATCATATTATGATGAACATTTCTAAATACCAGATTGTAAACTAGAAAAATGTAATACCATATTACAGTTAAGAAACTTTAAATACCTTAAAATAAAATATCAGCTTGACTGTCACTTTATCAAATAACGATTTGAATGTAATTTCAAATATAATTTACTATTTAAAATTCATAAATAAGCATAACGTAATCAATAATGTTATAAATATATTAATCTCAAGAGTAGGTATTATGTAACTCATTTGTGCTAAAATATTTTTTTAAAATTTTGTACTGGTTTCAATTTTCATCATATTTTACCACAAAATAGTCCCAAATAATTTACCAGAAAAATTCCAGGGTAACAAACATATATGCTTTGTTAAATTATACAAGTATCCTAAGCAATTTATATTTTCAAGGAATGTTAAATTCATACACGCGTTACTTAAACGTTTGGGCATTTTGTAAAATGGTTCCTTTTACTGGATTGTTCCTGTTTATAACATCAAAACATAACATAAGAAAGCACTTATCACATTTTTATGCACTTAATGTTGAAACAGCAACGTGCATTTTACTATAGTTATTTCTTTTCATTTCATCACATATTCCAAGCTTGAACACTGTTCAAATTTTCCTTCTGAGATTACGGTAAAAAAAATCGGCTTGAATCCCTCCATCTGATTAACCTTAAAGTTTATGGTCAGAAACATTTTTTTCCGTTATGGTTTTGAAACCGTTTACAAAAGGTACGGTTAAAAAACCGTTAATACAAAACTGTACAGTTTAGTAACCATTTATAATTAGCATAGTTTCTAAATCATAAAATTAAAACTTAAACTTACATTAAAGTTCTATGGGTGCTGCGCATTTATGTATCAGTGATAATATTATCTAGGGTCACCGAATGAAGAGTGTAGGTACCTGAAAGCTCTTCGTGTATTTAAGGAATGGAAGAAATATTATGATACCAACTCTGGGATTCGAACCCCTGTTTAGCCAATGATGAGAATGACCGATTAGCTCCCTCAGCTACAAGGTGTATCCAGCTATCCGAAGCGAATTTTTTTTCATTAGGTGATCCTGGTTAGCGCGAATAGAATTCTTGTTGATGTTAAACTGTACTAGGTAAAAACAATCAATAAACAATATTTCGTCATACATAGTAATTTAATGTTATATTTTTATGGTTATTTGACTTTCTTGGTCGAATATAGTAAAATAACAATTAAATAAATTTCTATATAAATTTTTTACAGAGAAATTTCTAATAGTGTAATCGCAAAAATTTCTCAACAAAAGACATTAAACATGCGTTTAAAATTTAAACGGTTTTGTGTTCCAGTACGCATAAGCCAAAACCTTAAATGTTACTCAAACATTCTTATAAGCTTTGTAAAAACATAACTGCTTCTTAAACACTTTGTCAATCGTATTTTAAAATTTCATTTTCAAAATTTAACGAAACTCAAGGACAAGATGATTTTGGGAAATCAAAACCTACTTACTAAATTCCCATGTAAAGGATCGTAAAAACGTTCGATCAATTGCACGCAAGTACTTTTGCCACATCCACTGCTTCCAACTAGAGCCACAGTCTTACCTGGCTCTATAGCTAAANATAATGCCTAAAGTGACCGCTTCAAATAAGAAAGATGAGTTATATGAGACATTTAACTGGCGATCACTTTTTTCGCAAAAAAAGAAAAAAGAAAAAAAAATAAATCGTTGCGTTTATTTGTTCTTAAGAAAGCTATGTATATTAAATCGAGTTTTTTTCTCTCCAAAAAGATCGAATGAAATGAAACAACTGATACGATTTACCCAATTCTGAACCTGATTAAACCGATTTACTCGAAGGACCAGCAAAATATTTTAGTATTTTATCAACTATTCATTTTCAAAGATAAATAATATTTTTTATCAGAATTGCAATTTTCTCGAAATAGAAAAACGAGAGAAAATAAACACTTTCATTATGAAACATTTTATAAACAATGTATTTAAACTTAAAGAAAATGTACTTTTGTTTGATAAACTATAAAAACGTAGAAAAGAACTGTAAGACACAAGAAACATTTGAATAAGACAGATCTGTCTTTGTAGGAAAACAAGTGCTATCATTAATTTTCAGACTCGCAATTATTCATCGAAATTGATAATTGCCTTGCAACAAGAAGTTATAGAAAAAATTGGTCAATTAGAAAATTAGTCAAATAGGCAGACTAATTAAAAGATACGGAAGATCAAAAAATTATTTTTCGATTTATAAAATGTATCTAAATTATATTATGCCTAAAACAATTAAAAATTAAGTTGCATACATGTATGCAACTTCATTTTTTTTCTACCTTGTTTTTTTATGATCAAGTGTATAAATACGCTTGATCTTAAAAAAACATGACACTTTTTCTACGTAAAGAGTTCTTCTTTTCAAACGCCCTGCATTTTACTTTGAAACCGCTACTTCAACTTAATTTGTTAATTTTAATTGTAACATGCCATATAGTGTGCCAATAATGATAAAAAATAATGATTTAAGAGAAGTTATTAAAGCTAATTTCAGAAAGAAATATTTTATAACTACTTTTGATTAATTAAAATGTTATTATTTTTGTTGAATTTCAATAATCAAATGGCCTAAGTAGTGGGTCTGTTTGAATCTTTACTAAAGTAAAGGCCATATGATATGCTGATGAATTCATGGTTGATGTAGTGGGGGCCAATATTTGCCAAAAAACAATGCTACTCATAATTAATTTTTTATTATTTTCATTATTGAAACACTGGATGGCAACTTCTTTAGTTTTTCTTCTCTTATGTGAAATACAAAAATAATAGTTCTTTTTAAATATTCTTGTTAAATGTTAGTGAAAAACTTAAGCTAGAAGTTCTGTAGTCTTGTTTTAATGTATAAAAGAAATTTATGTTTTTGAACTATATGTGTTTGAAATAAAAAATAAGAATTATTGAAGTTTTAAAAATAAAAATATTTACGCCCAAAACAAAAGCTATCTATATTTCATAGAAAAATAGAAATTTAAGTTTACTGTAAGGGTATATTTTTGCAGATCTGTCATAGATGTGAAAAGGTGTTTTTACCTATCATATCGACTTTAACAATTGTTTAATACAATTGATTACTGCTAAAACATACCGAATGACTTCAATAAAAACTTTAAATATCTTAATTAGTAACATACCAATTTTTTGCCTTGTTGAGACAGGGGATCTATACTAGGAACTACATCGAGAAGATTAAAAATTCTAACCGCTGCCAGTTTAGCTTTATTGTAGTCTGGGGCGATTGCAATAGCTTGTCCAACATACATCATCGCAATTAAAACTCCTTGAAGAACCCTGTTTTTATCAGATAAAATAGTAAGGTAAAAGAAAGATTCAAAGATAAAATAAAAAATACATTAAAGCAAAGTTATAAATATGTTGTAAATTATATAAGTTAACAAAAAAAAATTTAAAAGAATTGAAAAACAATTTTAGAAATCGCTAGAAATGAACTAACTTTTTGTTATGCTATTTGGCCATTAAAATGCTAGGTGAAGATTTGGGAGCAAAAAACTGATAGTTTCTTCAAAAGATGAAACTAGTGCTCTCTAATTTGATGTAGAGTGGGCAAGAAAGAATGACTAATAAACATACGACCTTTTTTAAAAAATTAAATTCCTCAGGAGCTATTCGACCCATTTTGTTCTAATTTTGTATTGTAAAATTCTTTAAAATGATGTACAAAGTTGAAATGTAATTTCCATGGAATATTTACTATGTAAAATTCTTTGAAATGCTGTACAAAAATACATACCATTTAAAAATTTTTCGACTTTTATTAAATAATGTTACAGAATATAATAAATATTCACTAAAAGTTATTTTTTTGCAAGCACAGTTATCTTTGGATTAACGAATTTTATTATAGTGTACAAAATTTTTTAAATTCGCTTAAAGTGTTCTCTAGATATTACGAACTATGCTAAAGTAAAATTACCATAAAGGAGTCCAAACTTTGGATCACTCTCCTGATCGAACTATTTGGGAACCGTATTTCCCAAATTGCGGCTACCCTCTACATGTTTGGGGTAGAAATCCGAATTCGTCAAAAAAGAAATTATGCTTATTTAGATAAAGTACGTATTTGTGTCCCATTGTGTAACTTAAAATATCGTCTGCAGTAATTAATTAGCATATTTGAGGTCACCCCTCGAACCATAGAACATTAAGATCCATTAAATCAAAAGTTTCTCAGGATGGGCAGTTTTTTTATTCTTCTTATTAATTTATTTTTGAGCAATGTACATACCAAAGTATTCTGCTGTCTGCTCACAAGGGAAACTTCTGATTATGATCATAACTTCTGTTTATCATTTGTTTAAGTTGATCGTATGGAAAGATTACCAAACTGGCAAAAATAACCAAATCTCACTTTTATAAGGTGAGCACTTATCGAAATAGACCATCAAATTGATGCCCCGCACTTACACAGGTCTCACTGCATTTCTAACTCCTATCCTCAGATTCATTTTGAGATTCTTTTGAATTTATTTTGCGAACTCAGACTAGCGAAATGCTATATTGTTTGATAATTTCGTTCAGCATCATTTATCTGCAATTTTTTTAGCTAATTTTGTATACATTATTTTTAAATTCATGTTTAACGAACGTTTAAGATTGAATAAGTAATTTAATAAAAGGCATGTACAATTCATTTAATTAGGGAAAGTTTCCTATCTATTTTTATCAGTTTTCTAAATATAAAGTTTTTAGTTACAACAGTTATAACAATTAAATTTACTTCAAAATGATTCAACTATACGACAATATTCTAACTTTCGAAGAAGTAAGAAATTTAATTTCATTATGCTCTTTCAAATATCAATTTAATAATTTATTTATAAGAAGCTAATTTGTTTTAGGCATAAAAATTTGATATAAATTTTTTTGTTTCACAGAAGTGAAAGTTTGTGATATTGGAAAGTTTTTCACTTTTTAATGATTAATCATTTCAATTTAAATTTTCCTTTAATTAAAAATTCGAAGTGCTGTGTAATTCTGGTTATTATGTTGAACCTCTTTATTTTCCTATTACGATATGTTTTCATTTTTGAAAATTTTCGTCTTAATTTTTGATGTGCTTAATATTTTTAAGTTTGTCAATCAAATCATGGGAAGAAAGTCCTTAAAGTTAAAAATTTTATATACTCAAAATTATTAATGAAAATAATTTTGGGGATCTTTTCAAAAATATCTCACTTTAATAAATTTTCATATTTGATCTCTTTATCAGCTACTAGTACTGATCCATAGTACAAAACTGCAGCATAAGAAAATATATTTGTTCCTTGGGCAAATCCATAAATAAGACCTCTAATGTGTGCCATTTTCTGAGAATTCCTAAAGAAAATAAGTCTTAGTATTATATTAATCAAAGGAGGTTTTTTTTAAAGCAAAATGACTAGAATAAAAAAGAAAAACAATGCAGTTTATTTATATACTTCTTAATTATTTGCTATATATTTTACGAAACTTGCTGAAGAATTTACTTTTTAATTGAAGCATTAATTTAAAGGTAAGTCACTTTTTTAGTTTTTTTTTAATATTTAAGAATATAAATTTTATTAAATTAGAAAACCGGTTTTATAAATATAAAAAAATAATTAAAGAAACTGAAATTAAACGTAATAAATTATTGCTGATGTGATCATAATTTCATGTAAGCTTAAAAGGAAATCATGTCCTAAAGGAAAATATTAATGTTATCACTAACCAGTGTCTTAATATTTTGATATATCATTAGAATTTTGGCTGTGATAACAAGCAAATTTTCTGTGAGCTTAACGTGGTGTAAAAGTGAATCATATATTTCTTTACATTAAACCATATTAAACAATATTATACGATATTATTTGACTTAAACAAAATCATGTTTCAATTTAACATCTTATTGTAGCAGTAATTTTTAAAATGTTATTATGATTCAAAGTTCAACCGATTTTTGTAAGATTGTATATAATTTTTTTTAAACAAAAAGTTCCATACTGTTGATATTTATTACAAATATATTAAATACTGAAAAAATACGGTATACACTGTAAAAAATTCCGAATCAAACTGTGGTATAAAGTACCGGCACTTTAAGTGAATCATCCTTCATTTTTACAGTAAAATATTATCTCGTAATTTTTACAGTAATATTAATTTAATCAGCGTGATTCGGTGATTATAAGGTAACTAATGCTGTAAAAATTGCAGTATATCAGATTTCTGTTCCGTAACATGTTTCGGTAAAATAAAATTTTACGGTAAAAAGTACATTCACCCCTTTGAGGGCACGTACTTTTTACCGTAATTTGAGTAATTGAGTTTTTTACAGAATAGCGGCAATCATTTTAGCAGATGAAATTATCGTTACACTGGGCACAAGGCAAATGAACACTGAATGCTGGACAAAAGTTGAAAGTAAATGCAACTATTGTTAAAATAGCAATAAAATAGTTTTATAGTGAGCAATAGTTTTTTTCATGACATTTATGGCATAAAATATTGATTTCAGTTGTAAGCTGTTAAGATATGTGATCAACAATAATGGCATACTTTTGAAGCAAACGCTGGATGCCTGGAGCAAACCTGGAACAATCATTGCTACAAGAATTTCTCTGAAAACTAAACTTTTGTTATGTAAGGACAAGGATAACTTGACTAGTAGATACCTACACAAACTTGCCTTCTAAACTTAAAGAGCCAAGATTGTAAGAAGGAAATAAAGGAAAATTATGCTTGTTTTTCATTTCTTTAGTAGCAGTTGTAACAATAGAGGAATGTTTGTAGGTTTAAATTCATTATAAACATATAATATTTGTGTTAACATTTTGACATCGAAATGGAAACTTGTCGTTCCTTATAAACCATACTTATAACTTTAAGCTGTATTTAAAAGAAACGCCTCTTTTTACAAAATGATTTATTATTTTTTTTTATTTCTCATAGTAAAATTTTTTCTAGTCCTTAACCTATAAAATTGGATCGGCTGTTCAACGACGGTTATAAAATAAAATAAAATAAAATAAAATAGAACAGTTTAACGAGAGTCGATGCTCAATTGTTTCAAAATTTATTTTTTATTTATTTATTTTAATAAGCAATTTATTTTTAAATTTGATTTCATTTTTTTAAATTTACATTGCTTTTTTATTTGTTTATAACTCTTAGAAATTTAAAAAAAAATTGATTGTGTAATTAAAAACTGACTTAAAGGGCTTCAGAAGAGCTGAGTAGAACTGTTGATAGAATTTCTTTTCTTGATGCAAAGAAGCGACAGTGCGTATACTTTCGATTGCTTCGATTGCTACCTGCAGGAGAAAAATTTTATGCATTAATTTTTAACTTTTAAAGTTTATGCACTTAAAAGAAATTATAATTCACAAGTCAGAGGGAATTCACAAGTCAAGGAAATTATAATTATAAGTCACAAGAAAATTAGTTAACATTTTCATCACAGCAATGACGCTACATAGCTCAATCCTCTGCGCACGCAGTTCCCTTACCGCACTAAAATTGAAACAAAACTCAGATTCTTTTGAAACTTGTTTATTTCACTTCAAAAGATAATAATCAATTGCAATCAATAACCATATTCACTAACACAACAATAGAGCACAGCGAGTATTCCTGGAAGACAAGTCATCTCACCCGTTGTGATAAAAGAGTTAAAGACATTTGATATAGATCAACAAATTTTTATTTGTTTGAATTACAAAACTTATCACGGGAGTCATTGCTAAATGCATTACGATCATTTATTATTTCTTAAAATTTTAACACCAGAAATAGAAGAATAAAATTAAATTATTTTAGGCGTGGCTTAGTTTAATGCAATAACTGAAAAGTTTTTTTTATTTATTATAATTCAATTTTCTTGCTATCTTTGCATGATTAGATAACTTATTTTTAATAGATGATAAAACTAAAGTTTATATCTATGTGTTTATTTTAGCAATGGAATATTTCAGGCGATAATCTGATTTTTTCGTCTTAATCATTATTTAGTTTTGCTGCACCATATCATGGAATTTACATGCTCTGGAGAATTTTTGTTGCAGATTTACAGAAGCTAAATCTACATTCTATATTTATGTGTCTGCTTTAGCAATGAGGTGTTTGATATAAATTTAAATCTATACCTAATATCATATCATTTTGTCGTGCTCTTCAAGTTATTTTCAATAAATATTCACTTGAATTGTCAACATTTTAAGTCTTGCTTTCTAAAATCAAGGCGTTTAGGAAGATACAAAACATTTGTTTTTTTTGTTTTAAATTCATTCTTTTTTTTCGAGAAGTGTTAAATTATTAATACTTAATATAATAATGAATTATATTGGTATGAATTTGAACGATAGTTTAAGATACGACACTAGGTACCAAAAGGGCTTTCTTTGAGTAAATATAAAAGTTTTTTTTGTAAGCTAATCGGAATTTTGAATCCAGGACACAGTTGTCAGAATTTAGTTTTCTTGTTTTGCGAGAACACCGGACGAAAGTCAAAACTTCTTAATATCTTTTTTATGTGTACAGCGTATCGCTACATCTCAAGAACTGAGAAACGAAGTAGTTTTCGCAACTAAAATGAATTTATTTACTTGAATACAATTTTGTAGCAAAAGCTTTATTTATGTATTTGTAAGTAAAAGTTATGGTCATTAAATGCCTTTAAAATTATTGGAAATCTTGTGAAATTTTGATATTTTTAATTTTCGAACTGTGAAATTTTGATAACTTAACCCTTTTGAAGGCCGTGGTAAGTATACTTACCACCACGTTTTACAACTTTTAATTTAGGTTTCCATTTTTTAATAACTTCAGCTTTCTTGAAGTGAGTTTGAATAAAATTGGTAACCATTTGTCACTTTTAAAAAACGTCTAAAAGTTATAAATACATAATTTCTTTTGAAGTTTGTAGCATTTAAGGAATTTATATTATAAATAAAGAAAAATGAAATCAGTAAGTTCCTAATAGGTCATGTTAAATATATTTACCACCAAAAAAATGGCATTTTTATAAACTAAATAAGTTTTTTTTATATATCAATTACTGCTCTTAAAACAATTTCAATTCCAAAAATACTTTAATTTACCTTTACTGGAAATAAAGGCCCCGTTAAAGGGTTAAGATATTGAAAAAATCTTATGTCTTAATTTTACTTCCTTTTTTTAGAAACTATTAATCTAGAACTAAAATTCTTCATTCCAACAAAGCCTCTTTGCTGATCAATTACATATTTTCCAAGCACATTTACCTTAGATGCAGTCTCTGTTCCAGCCTTTTCACTTGTTGATTGGCCGGATACAACTATGGATTCAAAATAGGTACCTAAAAGTACGAATGGAATGAAAGCAAGAGTAAGAGCCCCAAGTCTCTGATCATACCACATTGCTAGAACTATGCCACACAAAAATGTTGAAAAAGCTTGAAATAATGTTGACATTCTTGCACCTGTGGCCTAGATAAATCATTAAAATAAAAATTAAAGAATTGAAAGTGCAGATTAAAACATTTTTTATACATTTAATATTTTTGTTGTTAACTTTGTTTAAAGTAATTGAATTGAATTTTTTATACATACACCCGACTTGAATTTGTTAAACAAATATGAAGTTTGTATCTCAAGGAGAAAAAAAAGAAAATAAATAAAGAAAGAAAGAAGGGTAGTAGGAGAAAAATCGATGTAACTGAAGTTGAAAATGTAGACTATTTTAAATTTCCATGCAAAATCTAAGAAATAATTTAATTGGCTGACTGGTAACTTGTTAACTAATGATTGAATCTTTACTTTGATATAAATATAAAATTTAAAATAATGGTTGAACGTCACGGCACTCCGAAGTTCAATTTTCGAAATACGCGAAATTTCCTCATTTATATTACTATATTAAATGAAAGAACTACACTTACCCCTTGAACTTGTGAAGCATCTGAAGTCAAACGAGAACAAAGAGCCCCAACACTGTTTTTAGTACTGTCGAAATAACTCATATCCTATGTAAAACATTTTTTTAAAGATTATAATGAGTTTAAAAACAAACTTTTTATAGTGAAATAAAATAATTATGAACCTGTGAAATTATGTTGGCGAACACCATTTTTCTTAACCTTGAAGTCAGTTTTTCTCCAGCAACAGAAAACATGAATACCTAAGGATGAGTAACAATTAAATGCAACATGCGCTCACTGGACAAAAAATTAGTCATACTAGCGTGCAAACACTCTTGAATCGTTAGGTCCCGTTAGATGACACAGGTTCAAGTGACATGCTCAACTGTGATCAAAGGTAAGTAGCCAGCAGTGAGATATTTTCGTATTTAGCGGAAATTGTGCGTGAATATGGGCAAGTGTAGGGGTATGATAAAGTGGTCGAAATGGGCAATAGTGTTTGGCCGTGCCCATGGTCATATTGACTGTGTGCATGGTCAGGTTCAAGTTGGAGGTGGGTCTGTCATGTTTTGGGGGAGTTTTTCTTATAATGGATTGGGCTCCCTCATTGAGTTGTGCAGTAACATGAACCAACATGTTAATTCGAGCATTCTGGATAATCAGGCATTGCCTTGCAGTCAACATCTTCATGAAGAGTATGCTGTCGATACCCCTATTTTTCAAGATAACAACATCAAAGTTCATCGGACTTGAAGAATATGTGGTTGGTTTTATGAACACTCAGACAGTTAATTGCATCTCGACTGGCCTACAAAATAACTTGACTTGAACCCCATTGAAAACTTGTGGGACATACTGGAACAACGGATAAAACGCCGAAATCAGCATCCTCGCAATTTGGTGGATTTAGGCGATCAAATCCTCAGCGAGTTGGTAAAACTGGATTCGACGTCTCCACAAAACCTTGTGGACTCACTTCCTAACTGAGTCCAGGCAGTGTTACACGTTATTAAACGATGTTTTTCATGATTTCTCTAAGAGTGTCTAATTTTTTGTCCTTTGTGTTTAGAAGAAAAAATGATCAATGATAAATTCATCTTATTAGTTGAGATTGTTTAAATAATTTTGAGCGTAAGAATTAGTTTTTTATCTATTATACATCGAATTTAATGTTAATTTTAATATGTATTTTTTAGAAGATAAATGTATAACATAGAAATAAATAAAATGTGTATATGTTTAAAATGTAAACATATTGTTTTACTAAAAAAAGTGGGTGCTGTTGTCGCACTGAAAAAAAGCGTGGTTAAAACTAGCAAAATAATTAAAAATTTATCATGTTTCAGGCTCAATAGGAACACCAGAAAGATCGATAATTTTTACCGAAGCGTTTTGGTAATGATTTTAGTGAAATTAACAATAGAATGCTGTTTTATCATAAGTGATAAAATTTGGTTATAATATCATGATACTTAAGAGCATAGCATAAAAACCAGTTATTCGTTAAAAATTGCTTTGCAGTTGGAGATTTTTTACTAAATGTATGGCAACATGAACTATAATTTTGAAAAACAGAATTTTCGGTAAATCGTTACCATATAAGCGAAAACAACTACCAAATGAATGGTTTAAATACCGTAGGTTTTGGTTATATTATCTAAATTTATGTTGCTTTTTCACCGGAATTTTTATTTTTATGCAGTTAGTAACTTTACCAAAAATTGTTTTGAGTAGAATTCTTCTCAATTTTTTAAATAATACATTCAGATCTAATCAGAAAATACATGAAAACAACAAAGAGATTAAAAATAAAAATATTGTTGCAAAAATAAATATTAAAATTAAAATACAACTAAATTCTATAAAATTAGAAAGAATGCTCTTTTATATTAACTGGTTTCTGTCTTTCTTGCTTAAAAAAAATTGAAAAAAAAAATATTACCTGCAGGAACGTACTGGTGAAAGATGTAAATGCCAAAAGCAAAAAGATGAGACACCAATAGTTAGTTTCTCCAGTAATTTCATCAGGTGGTTTAGCTAAAACCTGTACAACAGTTAAAAATATAGAGAAATTTATTCACTTTAAAGCCGCATTTTCTATACAGAATTTTGTCATTAAACTCTGCGAATCAGTAAGAAAATTCTTAATTGCTTAAAAAATAGAGAGATTTTGCGAAACATTACGTTCCTCTCCATCTCTAACGCTAAATGCTACAGCACCAAAGTTTTCTTATAAATTACAGCGATGCTAAGGAGTAGAAAATCAGATAAATGTTTCGGCTAGTGCCATTATGGCTTCTAACCCAGGAAATCCTAGCTATCCATAATATTTTGAACCGTAATCAGATATGAATTCGAGATAAACCTAATTTGTTTTTAATCTTGCTTTGCTAAATTAATTAAAAACTTCTCTGCATAATTAATAGGTTTTATGTATGCTTAAGTTTTTTATATGTGGTAGTGGACAAAGTGATTCTCAATTAACATTATAATATCAGTAATAAAATTTTAAATCATAACATGCACCCCTATTCTAAACATTCAAATAAAAATGTTTAGATTAATCGAATCATGTTAGCAGGTAAGACAAACGCTATGCAAAAGCTCTCTATTCTTTATAAAGAAAACGCAAAATAGTGTTACATAATAGTGTTTCAATATCAACATTTTCGAATTATCTACCATAATGGTAATAAGAAATTGGGTTTTATGTACCTGGCAACGCCATTTATTTGACTTAAAATATAAAAAAAATAATTAAAACTACGAAGATAAAATGAGTTAAGTTTTAATCTTTTTTGTGAATAGCTGTGAAAGTTTGATGCTGTAAAGATGATTCTCTAGTTATAGAAACCTTATCGCGGACGAAAAAGTACAAAAAAGTGCAGGTATAGTTTTAAGCAGTCTTCAGACCGGTTTTATGGTGAAGCAGACCATAGAACCGAAGTACAACTTCCCATAAACAGAAAAAAATTCATACACATTTTGACGTATTTCCCCATACAAAATGCTATGAGTGTTAAGATTTTGATTGCTTCTTCAACAAAGAAACCAAATATTCGAATTTCAAAAAAGTCCTCAAATTAACAGAGGTTCTCTTATTCAAATTACTTTGTGATAACTAAAGCATACGAGAAAAAGTCTAAACACAAACTCCAGAAAAACCTGGTACTTTAAATGTGATTATATAGGTATAACTGTATTAACTACTAAATAATTCTGAAAAATAAGATTTTTTTGCACAGATGACAATGATTTTTTTCTGAATTATTTTAATAAACGAACATTTAGTATTCATGTTTTTAAACTTTTTATAAAGCAAAAAAAGAAAAAAAATATTAAACATCTATACATACCCCTAAGATTGATCCAAATATGATACCGAAAGCGGGCATGTGTAAGCCCATGCACATGGCAGCAATTCCTCCAACTAGTATATACGGCCATTCAGGTGCCGAAACTTTTAATAATCGAAATTTTGATGGGGAGGCCTTTTCATCTTCTTCTTCATCCTCTTCCTTCTAAAATTGATCGAATTATCGAAACATTAATGATAAATTTTCAAGTTATTGTACATTGTATAACTAAAGCTATTTTGTTTTTAAAAAAATTCAATCTTCTTGTGCATTAAAATAATGAGTTCTAGAATAGTAACTATACCATTCTCTGGATTATTAAGATTATATTTGAATATAAAAGTATATATTCTAGAAATTATTTACAGTTTCGTGTAACTCTTTCATGTTCTGAAAATACAATGGAATGAAACAATTTAACATTTGACATTTATTTCGAGAATTATTAGGTGCTACCTGGTAAATATTTGAAAACTGATTTTCAAACCTGAAAAGTGCAGTTCTAGAATTGAAATTGGAAGTGCCGAAAATGATAGTTTTATTGGAGATTTTTTCATCTATTTTGAGATTGTGAACATAGTATCTTCATATTCATTATCTTCATACATACTATCATTACATACATACATCTGAAAACATACAGAAATAAACAGAAATTTTTGAACTGAGTTCCGATGTATTATTATTTACGAGTTTTCAACCATATTATTTTACAAATATGATATAAACTTCTATATGGTACTAAGTTGAATCTTATAATAATACTTTTCAATTTAAATTTGATTACACGATATTAAGGTATGATATAATTTGAACGGAAAGCAAATTTTCACTTCATTATGGTTCAAGGAACAGATATTGTAATTTAACGTTGAACTAATTTTTCGAAGAATGTTTAAAAAGTTTTTGGGGAACATAGTTTAGATCTTGATAATTTTATTCCCAGAAATATAAAAATGTTAATGATAATATTGATTTGGCTGCAAACTTACTTTTTCTGTTGGTGGTTAGAAACTTCATTGTCATGTTTCGGGTACTGAATATGGGCACTAAACTCCTCAGCCGAGTTCTGTGGTATAGACGTAGTAACAATCGAACAACGAAAACTCGATAATTAAATCTGCATATTTTTAATAGATTACTCATGAACTGAATACTTTTTTTAAATCTATCTGGATTAGAAGAGATTTAAGAGAAATTCAAAATATATCAGAAGAAATATTATACCAGTGTCCTAATTAGTAGAGTAGCATTTTAAATCTTCTATCTATATTCCTCGAATATTAAGCTCCATTTCTACCAAACTGTTTATTCATATCAAACTTTGTAGTTTTCTGCATTGGCCACCTTACCTTTTTACCTTCTATATGCCTTTATATTTTTAAAGGTTTAAATTAGTTGATAGCAGTTAGATCAGAGTTGGTAAAAAAAATTTTTTTTACAGAGTACAATATCAAATAAACTTTTCTTTTATTTACCTCTGAGACTTTGTTTACAGCACCATAAGGAGGAATTTGGTGACCATGTATACTAATTACAGATATTCGACGATCTTTGCCGCTTAATTTTCGACGATGAGGTGTTGATTTAGGGATGCTTACTGAAGAAAGACACCTTTGTGAGCTAATGTCTGATGATATGCTTAAAGTACGGGTTCCGTCTTCTATAAGTGGTAATTCATCATCATTCCCTTCTTCTTCTTCTTCAGTAGTATTAGTCTTTAAAAAAATGAATTCAAAATATCAATTAGACACCGAAACAAATTAACATATTGGACTAAATCTTTGACACTAAATTTACCTGTGTAACAACTAAATCATAATAAAGACCCTTTCTTTCCATTAGTCCGTCATGCGTCCCACTTTCTTTTACCTTTCCTTCAGATAAAACAACTATTTTATCCGCAGTTCTAATCGTAGAAAGCCTATGTGCGACGATAATCGTTGTTCGACCTTTCCGTGCCTAAAATTTGAATGCATATATTTTTATGCTAATAAATAGGAAAATATATTATTCTCTTAAGAATTTGGGTTTGACAAAGTTCTTGCTTTGCTAATATTATCTAATATCATTGAACTTAATATAATTGATAAAATTAATAAATGCCATAAAAGTTAATGCATTTTAGTACACATAAGGCATAATTGAATGTCTGAAAATCGACAATGGCTGAGTATATCATCAAAACTAAAATCCTTTAATCACCAATGATAAAATATAATTAAATCATTTTTACTCAAAACAAATAATTTAAGTCAAATCAAGCTGAAACTTACAATGTTTAGTTATAATAATGCACTTATGTCAAATGCGATAGCAAGGAAGTATCTTGCAAATCTAATGCAATTTCAAAAAAATACGAAGGGACCAGAACATGAAAATAAATTTAGCATTGCTTACATTGCTTATTGTTCTCTCATTAGTAGGTTTTAAAAAATGCTTTGAAACTGTATTAAAACAAGCGTATTGCTGCTTACCTCCAGATAACGCTTCGTCATTGTTCCATAAATAAAGCGTACGAAGAGCAATATGCAAGAATATTGCAGGATTTGATCACACTCGAGACATCGACATGCTTGAATGTAAAATTTCGTTTACAAAAATATGCTTTTAAGCTGCCATAACAGTTACTGAAATTTAGATGATACGAAGCGTGAAAGACCAGCGCCCACAAACGGCAAATGATATCACGTTTGGAGAGGGAGAGGGTCTTGAAATTGTGACAGTTTGTGACAAGATAATAGGGGGGGGTAAGAATAAATAAGGCACCAAACATTTTAGTTCAAATTGTGACAGTTTGTGACAAATTAAATAAAATAATGATAATTTGTACTTTTGTCTATTTACACGTCTGATATTGCTATTCAGCAAAAGTCCTGCAAATAATATACTATTTCTGCTAAAAGTACTATATATCTTTTTTTGTATGCAAAATCCAGAATGGAGATATTCTTTTTAACGGTAGTTTTGTTCTTCATCTCGGAAGATGCCGGAAGTGTTGCTCATTTAACGTTACTCAGTGGGTCCCTGTGAACCTAAGTCACGAAGATGAGCAACATTACCCACACTACACTGTCGCAGATACTCGTTAATAGGGTGAACCACATTCACGCCCAACAGATAGAGAGAAACATCCATGCCCAAAGTGGAATTTGAATCCGCAGCCATTGGCTTCGCAGTCAGGCACGCCAACCGCTCGGCCACCTGACCAGCAGGGAATAAAATTAAGTTGATAGATGTAATAGATTCGAGGTTAAAGATGGTTTTATCTATGAAAATTGAATATAACTTATACTCCTCTACACAGGAAATTATTAAAAATTTGGAATTTTTTAAAAAAAATTTTAAATTGGGAAAATGTCGGTATGTTTTGAACGCGTAAAAAAAGCCCTCATTCCCAATACTCAGCAGACGTGAATGAAAAAAATGAAACAGATTTGAAACAGAATATATGAAATTGCCTTGCTAACAGACAAAAAATGGGGGGGGGGGGATTAAAAATTGATCCAGAAAAAATATGGTATTAGAGAGAGAGAGGAAGAGATAGGCTAGAGTGCTTTTTCCAGTGCTATGAAGGAATTAATACCAAAAACTGGGGAATCGGCATTAATATGAATGAAACTAGATTTTAAAGCATTAAGATGAACTGATATCTCCGGATGGAAAGAATTTTGGCATAATCGAAGAAAAATTAACTATCCCCAGGGTTTTAAAAGTGTGAAGCAATGTGAAGTGTGATTTAGAAAATTTTATATGAAGAACGTAGCTGTTGTGTTTTTTTAACTCAAATTTTTAAACACGCCTGGTTCACCCGGTATTGCCAAGGTTGCATTGGTATATTTTTAATTTAGCAGTGATTTTAACCTTAAAAGAAGGATTTCTTTTATTTAGAATTTTAAAAAAATTCTTAATTCTAAAACGAGTTCTCTAAATAACTCTTCAGTTTTTAGGAACTGGAATGTGATAGCTATCAACTAATTGTCTGAAGCGAATAAGCTGTCTAAAGTTTCAATGATCCTTTTCTGATGTTACGGGTAAGAACAATAATTGGCGGGTAATTTTTCATTAACAGCTTCAAACTTGTGTATTTGGTTTGACGTTTGCGCATCAAAACTAAAACCCACGCCAAGTTTCTGAAAGAGAAAACTGTTTCTCTCCAGTATGATTAACCAGATGGGAAGAATAATTATTTAAAGCATTCATTTACTTATAATGCTAGTATATCACAATTTCATTTAAGAAGTAGTAACAAAGCAAGAGTTATTTATTTATTAAATCAGATTGTGTTTATTAAAATTCTCCAATTTTTAATTGGAAAACAATTTAAAAAATTTTCAACTGTTTTTCATTACCTGATCGAGAGCAGCTTGAACAATAGCTTCACTTTCAGTATCTAACGCTGAAGTGGCTTCATCAAGTAACAGTATTTTAGGATTTTTAATCAAGGCACGAGCTATAGCAATTCTTTGTTTCTGACCTCCACTCAGCTGAGTTCCACGTTCTCCAACCAGAGTATTGTATTTCTGATTTTTGTTTTTAAAAAACATTTATAAAAATGTGGTTGTTATTAAAACATAATAACTCGGAATAAATACAAGTAAATATTTAATACCATACCAATGGTAATGCATCAATGAAGCTATGAGCATTAGCAATCTTTGAAGCAGCTTCAACTTCTTCTTGAGTTGCATCTAATTTACCATATTTAATATTTTCTAAAATTGTGGTCGAAAACAGAACCGGTTCTTGTCCAACAAGACCTATATGATCTCTTAACCAGCCAACGTTTAGATCTTTAACATCAATGCCGTCAAGTTGAACCTATAAAAAATTTCAACTACCACATTAAGTATAGCCTCACTACATTATATTAATTCGACTTCATGTAATTGTTCTCAGAAAACCAAAATTGAAATAAATTGTAATTAATTCAATGCAAAGTTTTGGAGAAATAATTTAATTTGAATTCAAACTTACGAGTCACCACTTAGGATCACAAATTCATCATGTTTTAACCGATTTCCTCTTAATAATTTTTCCTTAAATGAATTAAAATGTGAAAATAATAATAAAAATATTAATGCTGTTATATTAATGTTATTATTAGCATATTTAATGTATGTTCGCATTATTTAATGTATTTATTGAGTGTTTATCACCATTAATGCATTTATTAGCATTGTATTGTAAATTGCATAACTTTCTAATAGAAACTAACTTACACATCCTGACTCCGAATCATAAAATCTTAAAATGAGTTGAATTATAGTGCTCTTTCCACATCCACTGGATCCCACTAATGCCACAGTCTCTCCAGGCGCAATATTCAATGACATATCTTTCAAAATCTTAAAACAAAAAAAAAATTCAATAAATAAGCAGAAATAATTAAATATTTTTAAAAAAAATATTATATTTTCTGAACATACAGTCACATCTTTTCTTGCTGGATAATTAAAGGTCACATTTTCAAGACTAATTACGCCATTTAAAGATCCTGGTTTCAGACCTTCCTCAGAACTGCTATCGATCACTGGTTTCTGAAAAAAATTAAGTTATATTGCCGTTCCATAATTTTAAAAAGTAATTACTATAATAGTTAAGTAATTAAGTTTGCAAAGAAATATGATGTTAGTGCATCAAAAGGCCAATAGTCAAAGGACAGTAGAATGGAATTAAGTAGGTCATGGTATCATCGCATGAGAGTTTCATGAATTATTTCAATTAACGCTCGTTAACATTATGCATCTTCACTAGTCGGGAATCAACAGACTTTAAACATGGGATGACAACTGCTGCAAAGAGTATGAAGCATCTCAGAAATAGTTATATTGTCAACAGTTTTAAGAGTATGTAGAAAATTTTTAGATTGATGCATAAGTTCCCACATTGACACACTGGCTGAACATAAATGCTTACTGAATTACCCATTACGTGGGTGAAGTTGTTAGCGTCTACAGATATGCAACACTGCTTGGCAAAGCAGATACAATTAATGTGTGAGGCATGGGAGACGTGACCACCAGCTGTGGTTTTGATGGCTGTGTCATCAAAGCCACAGCCAATGGACATTTGGCATAGCCGACCAAGCTATGTCAAATGTTTTTCCTTTCATGAGATCTTTGACACTTTTTCGTAAGCTTGTTGGTTGGGTGATAGGTGACTTGAATTAAGTCACCTGTTTAGACGATTCAAAAAGCCATAGTAGGTTATGAACTGTGGCATTTTTCACAAAGATATGGAGCTTATTTCCCCACTTAACTAATACGGCTGCCACCTTATAACCTGAGCTTGGTCTCTCGCAGACGTCTAACTATCATTGAATCAATATGCTTTTTTATTTGATTTTATTTCATTTTATTTTATTATCGGCATTGAACAGCATTCTCAAATTTGGATTTGAGGCTCAAAATATTCAGCTTGTAATTTTAAACCCTAAGCAGAAGAAAAGGGAACTCCAAGATCAAGCATTGGGACACACTAGCCTTCGTTGAAGATTGTTTGATGGAACTAACCCTCATTTGAGTTAAAGAGGAAGCAAAATAACTAAAACATTACATGTTTGGCTAGACATAAATGTGATTCTAACCCATGTTCCTTCTACCATTGAGTATATTTTACGACATCACTGTGGTCTGTTTCGAGCCGAGAACAGATTTCTAATCATCCAGCCATCGATGGAATTTGAATCTGGTTTACCTCATTGAGAGACAAGTGCTCAATCTCCTGAGTTATTACAGCTGAATTAATATTCAATGATCTGTTACATTGTAGTCAAATACAATTGTTCATGGTCTTTATGCATCCTAACAATAATACAGTTTTTTTAGAATGCCATTGACTTGGCACTAGGTACACAATGTTTGCGTTTGCTTAGATTCAGGGAAATTCTAGTGAATTATTTAGTCACTTAAACTGTTTGACATGAAACCAATCGGACATGAACGTCTGTTCCCTCAAAACAAAGCATCCAGTTTTTATTTATTTTACTTTTAATTGTAGATGTCTTTTCAGTTGGCACATATGATTTGGGAAGTTTAATGCGTAATATTAGTAGCATTCCATGAATTTTGATACTTCTGTGTTTTAAAAAAATAAAATATGCATGATATTAACTTGGATCATTCAATATTTCTTATCTTTCTTTCTTTCTTATTCAATACTTTTATAAACAAAAATATTTATCACTGTTCATTAAATAATTCTAAACATTTATTAAATGAAAATTTGAAAAATACTGGAATTGAGAAAGTAAGTTTACACCAAGCTCATAAAAATTAAATAATTTATTACTGTTAAAACAGATATATTGCTGAAAAAATATCACTTTTTTTTGAACCGGAAGTTTCAATCAGAATTACTTTTTGAGATACTCTAGTGTGTACTAATTCTTTTCTAATCATTAACTAAAGTTTATGTTGCATACTTTAATCACAGTGCAGTGCACTAAGGAAGGATATCAATATGCTAATTAATATTTATACTTTAAGATGTTTTTTGATGTAAAAAATTAGATCGAATGTTCTGTTCTGTCAAACGTATAACTATAAGGTGAGTTAGCATTAATATACAGGTAATTACTCTTTCATTATATAAATAATACATTAATAATACTAACCCTTTCAATAATGTTAAATATTTTAGCTGCAGATCCTCTAGCTAAAGCGAATGCTTCAAAATAAGGAGCTGTCTGTCCAATGAACATAGATGCCGTGATAACATTGAAAAATACCTGCAGGAAAAAAATCAACTTTAATTTCTATCACAATTTATTAAGGAATTTAAAATTTTTTAACAAGAAAAACTAGATTATTTTATTAAATTAATGATGTTTAAAATTACTCAACAATAATTAAAACTCCTCCATCATATTCGGGGTCTTCTTTGCCATAATCTTCAATAATAAGTTGAACGCCATACCAAAAGGCGAGAGCATATCCTGCATACATGGAAGACCAGGTAACACTTGTTCCTATAGCAGTCCAAAGTCCTCTTTTAATACCTTTTTGCATAGCAGGAATTAAGTGATTTTCATACCTGGTTGATATTAGAGAAAAGACAAATTGTAACAAAAGTTAGTTTAAATAGGTTACATTTGTGTTTCAAATCATTGTTTTAATGTATGCCTTTATTGATTAATATCGAATGCAAACTAATGTATTGTAAAAATAAAATTAACCATTCAAGACTGAAATAGATCAATAACTTAACTATACATTAGAAGTTACAATCAAGATCAGCCTTACTTCAGTGGCCAACAGACAAACATTTACTCAACAAGTTCCTAAGCGTTCTTAGATGCTATAGAAAGTTTCTTTAATTTGAATACCCTAAATATACACTGCGCATGCTTGAAGTAAATATTGGCTCGCGGGAGACTCCGTAGTTTTGATCAAAGACAGCAAAAGAAAAAAAAAAAATAACCAACATAGAGATGGTGCAAAAACTATCTAACACAGATGACTTTGAGCTCTTTATATACTAGAAGTCTTTCATTATTAAAACACTTTTCAATTAAGTTATCTTACATTTTAAACATTTTAAGATCAGGCAATTGCTGTTAGAATCCTCGAATGCGTAAAGTTTTAAATGACGAAATTTCATTTTAAGTCCCATTTTGAAATTTAGTTTAATAATGGTAAAAGTCATTGGGTGCTTTAATTATTTCCTTAACATAAATTTCATTGCATTATCTAAGTTTTAATTAGAATTCAAGCTGTGTCCAGAGAATTACGTAGTCCATATAAAAGGAAATTAATGCGCATCATCGCGACCTTATTCAAGAATACTAGATTATATTAAAATGGTAGTAACAGTCTAGATAATTGGGCACTTGCAACTCAAGAAAAAGTGAAGTTATTATGCCTAACCATGTGTTTTAAATCAGAAATAGTTAGATACGCATGTGTGTCGAACTTGATTGGTATCTGAATAAAAAAGGCCGCAATTTACTTACGATGAAGTCACTTGCAGGCATTCAGTTAATTGGGATTCAGGCAAAAAATGATATAGAAATAAATATTTAAAAAAAAAATGGTTCGATAAGTGCACGTTAGTTGTTATTTCTGAGAATAAATGCAAGAAAAGGACAGAATAAACAAGCACTTAAAGTTAATGCTAAACAATGGATGATTGATTGTGTAAAACTAACAACAGATGGCGCCAGGGCTTAAAATTCATCGTAAGACTTCTAAGTTACTACTTCCGATTGCTTTTTACTCCTTCTTTCATTTTAAATTAACTTCCTTCTTTCCAATTTGAAAGAAATTTGCAGTTTTTTTGGTCTGAAAGAGAGCTTAGATATTAATATCAAGTGACAGAGTGGACGTCAAGAAAATAATTACAAAACCTTCTAAATTTTTATTTTTATTTTGTTCTTGACTCTTTATGTTATTACAATTGGTGTCGCTAAAATCGTTGATTATTAAAATATGATATGAGGCAAGTTAAAAATATCCGTGTTGCTTACATTTAACAGATCCTACTTTCGATTTAGGTTACAAATACTGTGTTCATATTTTTTTTTTTTTTTAAATTTTTATAAATATTTTTTAGTATAGTGTGGGAAATAGACAATACGATGAAAGTTGGTATTGTCTATTTCACACACTATACTAAAAAATATTTATAAGAAATTAAAAATAAAAAAAAAAATTCATTCTTAACTCTCTGTGTCATTTTCATAGGTGTCGCTAATTCGTTGATTATTAAAATATGATTTGAGGCAATAGCTGCATTGAAGGGGATTATTTGTCGGACACTTTAAAGATTTTTTTTATAATTTTCTGGTCAGTGAGAGAACTTTGATGTTCATATTACGA